GAAGCCCTGGGGTTGCCTGCAGCCATCTCCAGCAGGACACGTCCCCCATCCTCCCAGTCGTTCCTGTGCACTGCCTTTGCAGAGCTGCTTTTCCTTGGGAGCATGGCAGACATTGTGCTCATCCTTCCCAGGGTGGCTCTGGAGACTTGGGACTTCTTTGCCATGATTGCAGCCCAAAACCTGCTCTTCCTTGCTGATCTTCCCTTGTTTTGTTAGGGATGGGTCCACCCCATCTTGCAGAAATGAGGCATCCTCAGGAATGATCTGCCATGTTTTGCCTCCATTTCCCGAGGAACAGGAAGAAGCTACTTCTCCATCCTTGAGAAATCTCCACCCTGAGGCACACTGTGCAGATACCTTACAACTGATGAGGTGCTGGATTCCTGCTCCAGCTTTGTACCACAGACCTCATGTCTCTGGAAATACTGCCTGTGTTAGGGGATGGACTTTTAGCATTCATTTTCATTTATGCTATTATGAAACAAAAGGACTACTGTTAAGTGCTGTCAACAGCCAGAAAATCATGAGATGTAAAGTGTGTGCCTTTATGAGCAAGAACAGACCCTCACCTGATTGTACACCCCCAGGAAAGGAGAGCCCCTGCTCTCAGCTGGTATTCTTCTGCACCAAGAAACCTCCACTTTCGTCTTTCCAAAGTCCTTTCCCTCCATTATCAAACCTCATATGGGCCAATGTGACTTCGTTCTCTCACTGCAGAAACCAATGGCTTTGTAACTCCACACCACTGTTCGGTTAAAAAGCAAACACTGCTCCTATGTCTGAGGCAGAGGGGAGCATTACTGCAGAGCTGCTGATCACCAAGGGGTTTTTGTGTGCAAGTGGTTGTGGCCTGTTGAAAAAAAATCCCTCATTGCCACATCCAAATGTGGTTAGCCAGCACAGGCCAAAAAAACCTAATAAAAATCTGAGGCCTAAGGGAGAATCTAAGAACAGTTCATCAGCTCTGGATGCTCCAGTGAGATTGTTTCTGACAGCAATTATCAGACAAGATGTTAATGTTGCCAGTCTGGTTTAAAGCATTAGAGCTTTGGAGGTGAGAAGTGTCCAGATTGGTTTGGAGCAGAGGTTTGTTTTTCTGGTCTGACCACAGAGAGAGGCGGCAGTGGCAAAGGCAGAGGGGGACACACTTGTCGGGTCTGGATCGATATCGCTTTTATAGCAGTTGGTTAATTTATCTGTTTGGGGTTTTTTTCCTTTTGGCAGGAATTTTGTACAAGTCACATTGTGAGAAGTACGGGATGGGGGAATGATGCACTTCCAGCCACGGATGCATCACTGAGGTCCTAATCCAAATGCCAGCCTTCACCTGGCATTTTTAGCAACATCCAGACAGAAGGTTCAGGGCTGCCACTCAAAAAAATGCATCATGAAAAAATTAAGTACTGGACAGCTTAGGCTGAGGCCAGTTAATTAACCCTTTGAAGGATGAAATGTCTTGAACTGTAGTTTGTCATTTGTCTTAACCATTATTGCATGACTGGTTTTTAATACCATTTGGCAACAATATTGATTTTTTTTAAGAGGTGGCATCACATGCAGTTTGCTCCTTGTTTTTTCTTGGTGAGTTACATGTGATGAGTCTTTATAGGGGGTATTTCAGGTTGTCTTTAAGATGATGTAGTTAATTTACAGCTGTCAGGTGTATTAAGCAAAAATTAAGACATTATACTGCATTATACAGCCTGTGTCCTAAAAAAGGAGGGGAGGTTGGAATCTTTTTTTCCATATTGTATTTGAAAAGAAAGCTCTTCTTGGCCTTTAAAAAACTCTTATTGACCTTTCTTCCCCCAGGCATTTCCCAGATCTCTGGCTGCTGCCCTACACTCCTCCCCTGATGTTGCAGCCGGTCACAGCTCCCTCTCATGCACCCCCGTGGCTGCCTGTTCCCTCTTTAAATAGTTTATTGGCAACCGCTCATGCCCTCGCCCTGCAGCCCTGGGATCTCATGGTTCCCCTCTTATCTCCAGCCCTTCAGCAATACTGAAACCCATCAGGGAAGTTCCATCAATAACTGCAGGACAAATGGCATGTAGGTCCATCCAAAGACAAAGCAGTGGCTCCAAGAACAGAAATCTGCTAATGCATAAGTAGAAACCATTTTGTGTCATGGACTGGTTGAAAAATGGAAGTTGTGGACTGACCAGGGAAAAGGTGAGTCATCCTTCCTGTACTGGTGAAGAGGAGGGGAAAAGGTGACTCATCCTTTCTGTACTGGTTTTAAGGTTGGTTGGGGTTTTTCTTCCAGTTTGCTGCTTTTGTTCTCACTGGAGGTGGATGGAAAACTTCTTGACAGAAATTAGAAAATAAATCTATGCTGGGTTCATAGTCTGGAAAAGGGCTTGTTGAAGCTGCTTTAAAAACCAGCCCTATAGAAATCTTAGTAAATCTGAGTAATTAGCTATGGTCTTTCATAAACAGTGTAAAACATGACTAAAGTGTCTGGGTGTCCTTGAAAAAAGCAGCAGGACATGGAGGTAATTCCCACTGCAGTGATCCCTGCAAAGCAGAGGAGGGATGGGAGGTCCAAGGGTCGGAGGAGCTGATTGCCTTGGGCAAGGAGGCTGCTCTGACATCTGCAGGCAAGGGTAGGTGCTTACCTCTATGGCTCATCCCAGTGGAGTGGTGTCTGGGAAGATTAATGCACAGTTATGGATTCTGGTCGTGTTACTGTAAAGGTTAAGACAAACAAGAGCACCTCTAAAAGTGCTGTCGAACCTCCATCTTGGAGACATTCAAAACTGTTGCTCCAGGCCTCAAGCAAACTGATTTAAGCAGAGTTTTGGACCAGATGTCCTTTCCAAACCCTGCTATCTTATGAGTTGACCACTTTTGCCACTACATTTAGCCCAAGGCCACCAGATTCCTGGAAAAGCAGACCATATTAACAACTAAATACTGACCAGGACAGTTAAAGATTGCTGGTGAAGCTGTAGGAAGATACTAAGAGAGTCTAGAAACAGAATGCAAGTTATTACAAAGGTGATGAGGGAAAAAAAACAGGAGTCATACTATTCCCAAGAAACCTTTTTCCTTTACAAACAGCATGAAATAAATGCTGCTCAAAAATAAAAAAAAGAAAAAAGCAAATAGAAGAAGCTTGCTGTTTCAAACTTCTCCTCTTTGCTTTAAGACACACAGTGTTAAGGATAGCAAGTGGATAGACTGAGCACCTAGAAAAGCTGCTAAAAGAGAATCTTGAGCAACCAAGAGTGGGCTCTGTGGTGAATAAGCCTAAGGATACTTCGAATTTGTGAGGATCCTGAAATAAAAGTCTGAGGATTTTTCTTTAGCCTGCTACCCAGAGAGAAGCTGTGTTATTTTAGAAATTGGTGCAGAGATTGTGACATTTATCACACATCCAGGAAGATGGAAATTAAGTTTGAAGATGCTCTTCTGGCTGAAGTCCATAAGGACAGATGTTTAAGGGATTAATACCACTCCATATGGCAGAGGGTCTCCTGCAAGATTACCAAGAAAAAGCAGTAACAAACTTCCCTCCCTCTGGCTGGCTGCTTCCTGCAAACCGCCATACTGCTCCTTTTGAACCAGGCAGGAGTTTTGACCCTGAACCATTTAAGTGCTGTTGGGTGAACGTCCTGCAAGCCTTTGATTAGAGCAATGCAGTGCTCCTTAGATCGACTTGTTTTAACACGTTTCCAATGCAGGAGAAAAGACAAATAATTAGAAGTAAACTCTGTGTTGCTGTTTCAGAAATTATGACCCATCATTGTTTTGACAGTCTCTAAACAATGGCATAAATGGGCTGAGTTATGTGACCAAGCGTCTAGGAAACCCTTATTCCAGAAAACAAAGATAGTAAATCACATGATGCCCCGTGAGATGGGTTGTTTTGCCAAATTAGTGCTTCAGGGGAAGTGAGAACACTTTCAGTAACTGGGATATTTCTTCATCAGTTTCAGACAAATTCAGGGTCACCACCGCCCCTTCTTCCCCACCTCCCACTTTGCTATTGTAATTTTTAATTGGTGGTATATATCAAAGCTGGTGGTTATCTGTATTTGCTGCCAGAGTAGCCTATTTTTTCCCTTTTTAAAGTGCTTAAAAAGCACTCATGGGGGGATAGGAAGCCTTTGGTGCCTCTTTTAACACCGGCAGACAATCCTGTAGAGTGAAATGCAGGCATTAAGAACCACTTAAGAGTAAAACATCACCAGGACGACCTTTCAATGTGTGTTGAATTTAAACCATTGATGATCCCCCAGCCTAAGGTACAATTCTCTGTTTTGTACCATGTACGATGCAAGACCAAAACACCAAGAAACTCAGTAAGGACAGGGTTTTTTTGGCATGACAATGCAACACAGAGCCTTTTGCATTGTGCCTCTAGGACTGGTGTTCAAAAGGGCCACGTGAGTTTCTGAGAAGATGTGGCTTTTTTATGTATTGGCAACTGGGTTGCACTGATGACCTGAATTTGTTCACCTTTGTCTAGGTATTAGCACCTGTGTTGTCTGGCAAAAACTGCCTGCTCTGGCTGTGACAGCCTCATACTGTGCATTGGAGCCTTGTGTGTTAGAGGCAAACAACCACCTACAACAAGCCCAAGGTGGATCAACCAGCTTATGCTACCTGCAAAGATTTAAAGACGTGATTTTGTCCTCCTTACCATGCAGAGAGATTTGTCATATAATTAATTATACAATTCACTGCTGCTCAAGTATCCTCATGAACATGATCGCTTAGGCCAGATCAACACTGGAGCACTGTTTTATTGCATATAATAACTCTACACTAACACAGCTAAAAAAATGTGACTTTTTCCATTGGGAAGGATTTATTTTATTGAGACCTTCCTATAAATGTCTGATTCTATTTCTCCATGACAGTCTAAGCTCTCTATTCCAGCTGCTGTCTTCAATGGAATGTGGCTAATAATAGCACCAGTAACAGCTGGACGATTAATTCCTTAACGACTGTTAAATGCTCTGGTATGAACAGAAGAGGGTTTCACCGTGTATTTCTCCTTGGTGTTTCTAGGTTGAATATGTTGTTCCTTGAAAGCAGCTGACTTCTGAATAGAAACAGAAATGGAAATTTTGTGGTCTATCTATCCCCTTCCCCTATTCATTTTGTAATAAGGCAGGGACTACTATGAAATATCTTAATTTTAATCCTGGATGACAGAATTTTGGATACAGGGCACACATTTTACAGGTTTTTCCAATGGTAGGCTGAGCAGGATTGGACAAAGACCATCAGTGCCACGCAGGACCCTGTCCTGTCGTGAGCTGCCAGGGGCATTTTCATCTGCCCCAGGCAAAACACAGTGTGGAGAGACCTTTGATTACCAACCTGCCTGTGCCTATAGGTGCCCATGGTTATGAACCAGTGCAGATGGAGTGGGCTCATGCAGTTTCAAAAAGTCTGAGAGACAGGGTTTTTCTTGGCTGTTCAGGCTACCATGAGGATATTTAGAGGTTAACTGGCCATGCAGACATGTTTGCAAGCATCTAAAAGTCAGGTCTGATGTCTTTATATTTAAATATAATAGGAAAATGAGGTACCATTGTCATGAAATCAGTATTTGACAAAAAATAATGAATGGAAAAAGAAGGAAACATTATAAGAAATGCAAATTAATATATACACATCCTCAAACCGCAACACACCATTGAATCCTGACTTGCTTCCATGGTTTGAAGATTATACCTACAGATGCCACACTAAAGCCAATTAGCTGTTTAGCCATTTGAAGTCCTGAGTTTACGCTGCTCCCATCCAGCCATTCCTTTTAGTGTCTGCCTGCTTTCCCAGCCAATGAACATGTGATTCATGTTGAGAAAGAAGCAGCATGGGACATGTTTAAGCTCCGCTGGTGTGGGAATTACCCCATCTGGATGGCTGCATCTGGGCTGGGAGCTGCAGAAAGAAGAAAACCTCTTTTGTACATGTCTCTGTTATAATTTATATAAATAATTTATATTGCTCTGGCAAAAAGCATCCCTGCTGAAGCTCCAGACACACACGTGCAGTGGATGAGCAGAACATGGTGACAGTGGGACAAGCTGCAGCCAGTGATGAGAGTCCAAGAGATGAGGCCAAACCTGCTCCTCGATGGGAGCTTTGCTCAGACGTTCTCCTGGTGGTTTTCAGTGGTGAGCAGCTGGGTGTTTCACAGTGTGTCCCAGCTACAGGTCTGCTCATTTTAGAGTGTCCATGAAGACTGGAATCCTCTGTGACAAAGCTGCTGGCAGTGATGAGTGGGAAGGGTCCGCTTGAGTTTCAGGTTTGTCCTGGAGCTTCCCTCCTCTCCGCCAGCCTTGTGATGGGCTGTTCTTGGGATAGGGAGCTCGGTTCTGGGTCCCGCAGCAGCTCTCCCAGGACAGCCAGGACTTCTTGCAGGCCCTGGCCGGTGTGGGCACTGCACCCCCGGAGCATCCAGCGGTGCCCTGCCAGCCGCCCTCGCCCCAGCATCTCCCCCAGCTCAGCAGGAGCCAGTGCTCCCGGCACCTCCTGCTTGTTGGCCAGGAGGAGGACAGGGATGCCAGCCATGCTGGGGTGGCTCAGGGCTTCCTCCAGTGCTGCCGTCGCTTCGGACAGCCGAGCCACGTCTGTGCTGTCGATCACAAAGACGAGGGTGTTGATGTCCTCCAGGTAGTCAGGCCAGCTTACCCGCAGGCTCTCTTGTCCACCAACATCCCAGAGGGTGAAGGATATGCCACAGGGTGTTTGCAGAGACTCCACGTTGAAGCCCACTGTCGGGCAGGTCTCCACAGCCTGGCCGCTCTTCAGTTTGTAGAGAAGGGTGGATTTGCCAGCAAAGTCGAGCCCCAGCATGACAACTTGAGCATCTCTTTTTTTCCAGCCTTTGGAGATCAGCTTCCCCATCAAGATACTGCCGCAACTGTGGCAAACAAAAAAAAAAAAAATGCAGCCAAAAAAATAAAAAGCAAGTGTATTTCCTCGATGATGTCAGTTAATAACAGAGTGCTCCGTCCTGCCTCTCTGAAAGAGCACCTTAGGTTTGCTGAAGAAAGACACAGGCAGCTTGCTTTTGCTTCTCTGCAGCTAAAATTAAGTGAGAGGTATTATTTATGAGGTGTGGAGCAGAGCCAGGGAGTGATGCTGAAAACAGCAGTTTCTATACCCCAGCTCCGCTGCCGCTCAATTCCATTTTCATTCATGACCTGAACTGATTGGTGCAAAAGAGAGCTAACATTTTGCAGGAAGAGGTGGAGAGACAGTGGAGCAAGTTTCCTCCTCACCACATACATAAATAAATGAGCTGTTGTTCATTGGTTTCTCTAGGGGAAATCCACCCCTGGCAGGACAGGACAAGGAGGAACCCGGGTTTCAGACCAGGGTTCTCTGGGAATTTGCTGAATCACAGTTTGAGGGTGTGGATTTAAAGCATCCAGAGCAATAAGAAAACTGACAATTTTTCTGCCAATCGTATGTTAAAAAGTACAAAACAAATCTCTGTATCATCAGCTTTACTACCTGTTGTGTGAGTGGTAATAACAGCAATTTTTAAAAATGCACACAAGCAGGTTTTTTTAATGTCTTATTGAAATATGGCTAATCAAAATGCCTTTCCTGGCATGAAAATCCTTAAAATTCTTTGCATCAAAGTATTTACTACATTTTAACTTTTGTAAGTGAAGCAAAGTCATTCCTCTGTGGCTGAGAGGCTGCATCTGGGCTGGGAGCTGCAGAAAGAAGAAAACCTCTTCTGTACATGTCTTAAAAGAAGGGAAAACTGTTTAGCAAGACAGCACCACTTGAAACTTTACACGCCAGAGGCAAAAATGTGCTGATGTAACAGCTACCAGACTTGCCTGTGCAAGAGTGGCCAGCAGAGTCCCAGCAAAGCCAGTAGTTACCTTCCTTATTGGTTGGGTTTTGCCTCTAAAAGGCTGCTCAGAGGTGTGCAGAACCAAAAACAGCCACAGACCTCATATTACAGCATTAACGCAGAGCTGCCCTCTAGCCACCTTTATTTGAGAAGGAAATGTGATTCATCCCTGCTTCCCTGGGACCATGGGGGAACTTCCAGCGCCTCTGTGGGAGGTGCAGTTTCCCCAGCAACAATCTCCACATGACAGCTCCTTGTCACAAGCCAACATTGCTGGAACTGAAGTTTAGCACAGCAAGTGGAAGGAACTGTGGTCAGTGACCAGGTTAGTGGTGGTCACCGAGAAGTATATTTCTTCCTCTGGGGGCAAGATGTGTCAGGTTTTCACATTTTAAAGGAAGGAAGATGAATGAGAAACAAAACAAACAAGGAGTCCAGCCCACAGAGCCTGCATGGGATTGCAAGGGGTCCTACAGACTATGTCTTGCAAGATATTTCTGTGATACATGTCTCTCCCATAGTTAACCCACAGAGCTGGCTGGCAACAAGAGCCTCCACGAGCTTTATGCAACTTGTGCACATGTAAGACATGTAGCTAGAACTGTAAGAGTCATAGAATACCAGGTTGGAAGGACCTTGAGGATCATCTGGTCCAACCCAACCTTTCATGGCAAAAGCACAGTCTAAAAAAAGCTCAGCACCCTGTTCAGACAAATCTTAAAAGTGTCCAATGCTGGGGAAAGCTACCACTTCCCTGGGGAGATTATTCCAATGGCTGATTGTTCTCATTGTGAAAAACTGTCCTCTTGTGAACAATCGAAAGAAACTTCATGAAGAATAAATTGTACCCATGACTCCTCATCTTTTCTATGTGACTCCTTGTAAAAAAGGATTTTCTATCTTCTCTGTAGCCATTCTTTAAATATTGAAACATGGTGATAATGTCTCCACTAAGCCTTCTTTTCTCAAGGCTGAACAAACCCGGTTCTCTCAGCCTCTCCTCACATGTCAGGCTTCCCAGATCACCTCAGTGGTCCTTCTCTGGGCCCTCTCCAGCCTGTCCACATCTATTTTGCGTAGCAGGGACCAAAACTGAACACAGTATTCCAGGTGTGGCCTGACAAGTGCTGAGTAGAGCAGGACAATGCCTTCTTTATCTCTGCCGGTGATGCCGTTGATGATGCACGGAGTCCAGATAGAGTCTCCATTTGAACTTCCACGAGTGACATTCTCCTCATCATGGCTTCCATTGCCACAGCAGCAACTGCTCAATCCTATTGACCTGCTTGTCCACCAGCACCCTGAGGTCCCTTTCCACAGAACTGCTCTCTAGCCAGGTAGATCCCAGCCTGTGCTGCACTCCTGGAATATACTTTCCCTGGTGCACGGTCTTATACTTGTCTTTGTTGAATTTCATGACGTTCCTGCTAACCCACTCTTCCTTCCAGTCTGTCCAGGTCTTCCTGCAGGATGGCTTTCCCTTCCAAAATGCCCATTTCCCTGCTCAGTTTGGCATCATCGGCAAATCTCATGAGGGTACACTTGATCCCATCATCCAGATCACTGTCATCAGGCTCAAGGTTAACTCAAAAGCCAAGGCTTATTTACAGCATTTGTCGCAGAGTAATCTAACAGTAGACATGCAACATCACACATGTGATAAATCGTACAGTGTACCTTCACGTGTGGTCTTCTCTAAAACCAGTCTATAAGTACAAAAATGGCAGGAAGCTCCCTAGATGGGAATAAAAATGTGCACTGGATTTTGGCCCTTCAGGGGACTGTTTGCACACCCTAAAGTGTGTGCTGTTGCCCGACAGTCATCCTTCTGTCCAAGTTCTTCATTTTTTAAAATAAGTTATATTGGTGTGTGGCTCCTTATTCTGTTTGTTCACCATTTTGGGAAAATCTTCCTTCACATATTGCACTGTACTTTCAGATCAACGTAGTTGGTATTTTTAGACACACCAGTGGGTCGAGTGAACTGTTGCTTGATCTTTTCGTGTTTCTTCTGCCTTTGCTACTGCTCATCTTCTCTAAGAGTTGATAGGTAGCTGTGACACAAATCTGTTTCATCTGACCAGACTTTCATACTAATATAATTTATTTTAAGTAAACTAAAATATAGATACAGGAAGCAAGAGTGGAGATTCTACCATTCAGTGAGCAACTGAGTATTTGAAATATGATGCGATGGAGTCTTGATTGCATCACTCTCTCACATGCTACAGAAGAAGGCTGCTTCTAAAAAAAAAAAAAAAAGAACCCAGAAGAGAAGGGGAAAAAAAGAAATAAAGCCAGAAAAAAGGATGCAACTAGGGCACAGTTTTATTGATAATTTCCTTCAGGTTTTCTATGGCATAGAATACAGTAATTCATGGGCAAATACAGGAAACTCTATATTCCTTTTATTGCTTTCCATGCTTATACCCTCTGTATTGCAGCCTATTTTCTTTCTTCATGCCAATTGTTCCAAATACAGGGTGCAAACTGTGCCTACAGAGTCTGTTTCACCCACAGGTATGTTACAAAAGCATAGTATTTTCACTAAATAATATATAGGAGCAAATGCAAGTCTGCTTAAGAAAGAATGAAAGAAAAGACTCTAAAAGCAGACAAGATGAGCTTTGAGAGAGTCTCTTGCTGGAGTAGAAAGGCCAGATGTTAAATAGTTCAGCAATTGTGTTCAGAGACAAGAACAGCCCCTATCCCAGCTATGTTTTCCGTGGACAGAACAAATGTTTTTGTCTCATGTTTCATGTCTCCAGATTCTCAGGAGCAAATGCAGTGCTTACTAATTCCATTTATAGTGTCAAAGAATTTCAGTCAATTTATTTCTTTGCTGTTTTTTATGCATACGTTTCCCTGTTTCCTAGATAATCATCACAAAGAGCAATAATTAGAATTAGTACTATAGGACACAATCCCTCCTCCTTCCTGTGCCTTAAATATTCCAGTAACTGGGATTTTGTCCTGATCACTATATTCTCTGTCATTTTGTCCAACCTGTGTCACTTCTTTAGAAGGCAGCTCCAGGAAGACAACCCTTAGCAGAGCCAGGATTAACAGGTGTAGACCTAGTCCTTACTGTGAGTGTTCCTCTAACGGCATCTACTTGGAGCAACAAGTAGATCTCAGCCCAGCAAAGGCAGAGCGTGCCTCCCCATCCAGACGTGCTTGCGTCTCTGAGAAAGGTCACCAACCAAGCCACCACTCACCCAGCCCTGCCCATGTTTCCTGCAGGATCTCCTCACTATATCATCTGTGGAAGGACCATCAATGGAGGGGATGTTCAGACTAGCAGCTGGTGAAGAAGCCTGCTGGGACTTGAAGGAGGCCCTGGACGCAGGCGGATGTCTTGACCTGGATAGCCCACCTGTCTCCGGCTGACAGTCATCTTGAAGGGGACTTCTGAGTTTGGCCTGTGAGAGCTCCTTGCAGACCTGCAGGGGATCACTGGATTTGACCTAGCAAGGACCCCAAGATAAAATCACAGAAAAGCCAAATGCAATGGTTCAGGCTTAGAGAAGTTTGGCCTTTTTCTTTTCTGCATCCTGGTCCATTTCTCTTGTTTTGCCCCTCATTTCTGGCATGTCCACAGAAAACTCACCCAGTACTCTCCTGCTAACAGACTGGTTCACTTGGCATGTGCCCAGGAAGCTGCCTGTTCCATCAGGGTCAATGGGTAGCTGTGAGAGCCAGCAGCTGAAGGCAAGCTGCTTCCTCCCGAGACAAATTCCCAGAGGCTTGAAAGATGGCTTAGCATAGTCTGAAGGCTACACAAGACTGCCACAGGCTCTAACGTGCCCCAGAAAAGCTTGCCTGCAATGATGTCTCTTGACAAGATATGACTCGTAGTTGTACCAATACCCAAAAGTTCAGAGCGACAAGATTCACACAACAAAACACACAGCAGACGTTAAGCACCTGTCCTTCTGGTGTTCATCAAACACTCTGAGAGGGATGCTGCTACCTCCAGGGCATTCCTGGTGGGGTTGGAAATAGGACATTGTTCTCACAGCCCCACTCTCCTGTGGTCTTTGTTTTCCCCTTTCTTCTCGGGACAAACATTTGATGAAGGAAAATGCTTTTTTGGTAGCATAACTGGCAGCTGAGATGCTGTCAGCTTTGCACTTATCACAGTTAACTCTTCCCAGTAGGGAATGACTCTAGCTGGAAAGCACAAAAAGTCACCTGCTATGCCCTCACTGATGCCAAGTCACAGTTTTCCACGGAGAAAACTTGGCCCTTGTCTATTCTCAGTCCTCAACTGTTTGGCCTGCTGAGATCCCTGTGTTGAATGATGGCAGCCCATAGGACATAAACATGTGCACAGGTGTGAGGTCCTGCTCAACACAGCTGGGCCTGGATGTTCATTTGCTCTACATGTCAGAGCACCCTGCTGTCAGTGAGACGGACAAACCACAAGAGAAAAAATAGAGCTTGTGGTGCCTACCAGTTGCCCAAAGGTGTTTGGCCAGGAGTGTTTGGCTAAGCTCCAAGGAGAAGAGGTTACTTCTGAGCTCTGCCTTGCAGAACAACCTCACAAGTTGCCCCTCAGTTCATAGGTTTAAATTTGAAAACTACAGGATGTGAAATCTCACTGAAAGACCTTCCCTACATGTGGCTATGGCCTCCAGCAGGTCCTCTCTGTAGACTCATGTATTCAAGTGCCGCCCAAATTGTTTTTTCCACATAAATTGGCAATGCTCTGTATTCTTCTATCTTCTATCTTATGTCTTATGTCTTAAATTCACAGATTGCTTCACAGATTTCTTCCTCCTTGACCTCTAACATCTTAGCTTTATCTCCTCAGGGCAATTCAAAACTAAGCTTCTTTGGCATCCTTACCTATCCTGACACCATCACTCTCTTTCCTGAAACAATTCATTAGCTCTTCTTCTTACAGTTGGTCTCTATCCCAGCTAGGGTCATTTACACATCTATGATACACACTGCATACATGTCATTTTCACATTAGAAACTAGTTAAAATACAGCTCTGACTATCTGGAAAGGCCTTAATCTCAATTCTTCGTTATTCTTAATGTTTGTAGTGGGAAAAAAAAAAGAGCAAAAAACGGGTACACTTACAGAAATATCCATGTTAGGAGTGCCAAAAAGAGGCTCTTATTCCATCCTCTCTCAGATCCTACTATTTGCTTCTCCATTTGTGAAAGCCATGAAGCAAAGACTGGTTTTTTTTGCTTTTTAGTATTCCTTAGGCTGCTAGCAAGAGGGTAAAGCCTTCAAGCCTGCGCAATGGATTTTTTAGGTGAGACACAGTGTGCGCGGAACTGAACCCACCCTTTAATCCTAAGGTTCATCTGCCGGGGCCGAGCGAGCTTGGACGGTGGCAGTGAGGTCCTCAGGATGTAGGTTTGATTAGAGTGACCTTCTCTTAGATGGATGGCCTTACAGGGCTAAGCGAGCTCCATCTGCCCGGGTTTGGGATTGGAGTTGTCCTTCTCCTAGGATGACTGCCAGGAGGCTAACGAGCTCATCCTGCCCAAGAATGTATTAAATCTGGTCCTATGGTTTTGATCTGTCTGGTATGGGCGACCCTACTGGAGGCATGTACCATATAGCTTGCAACCACACAGGGGTACAGAGACTATGTTCCTATTAGAACGCTTTGGGCAAGTCTTTCATTTCCTGCTTTATTATCACCTACCTATAAACAAACTGAAGGAGATACCCAGGGACAACCCTTTGTCCTGTCCACCGTTTCAGGATGTAACAGAGCAAAGCAAGTATATGCTAGCAAGAGGAAGCCCTACAGAAACCATCTAATGATGCTTAACCATACTGACTACCTGCACTAAATATAATACAGGTAATACCTTATCTGTTACTTCTATGGGACATAAAAAAGTTATACCTTGTAGGTATGCTGATGAAGTTCATCTCTCTAGATTAGTCTGGAGGAAATTTTACAATACACAAATCCAGTTCCCCTTAAGGCAGCCTTCCCTCATTCCAGTTCCACAGGAGAAACAGTAATTAGAATGAAAATGTAAGCATGGACCTGAAAATGTGCTTTGCACAACTTGCCAGGCTCCAAAGCAACAGTGGAGTCTCACCCTCAGTGCTCCTCAGATTCAAGGGATACAAGGTTTTATTTTATCATTTGTTTATAGTTTTTGTCTTAGCTTGCATGTTTAGGATATCTTATACGAATAAAGGAAATTGACTGAAAAGATACTGGAAATTATCAACAAGAATAAAAGCTACAAACTGATCTTTACTACGTTTCTGTCTGGTAAAACAGATGAAAGCAAGAAAACCTCACAAAATTTCAGAAATTGCATTTTATCTGTTTGGCCACAGTGTGTCAATGTTTTCCCACACATTTCTCAATGGAGGGACCATCTGCAGTGGAATCAGCTCCTGCCAAACAGATGTCAGAGTGCCAGCTTTGATTTAGGGCAGGACTTAGAGCCCTTGGGCCTTTAACACCCTTCTGCAGCTGGATCACTTTGAATGAGATTTTGCTGAACAACAGCTATATATATATTTTGTGTATCCATAGGAAGATGATGATAAGGACAGCAGAACAGAGATGGAATAAGATGCCAGTTCCATGCAGGTCACATTTAGCTCCAGATTGTTTTCACAACAGATTCAGCTGGCATCATATCCCAGGATTCTGCAGTTGGAGTGAACCAGTTCACAGACTGATGGAAAAAAACAATGCTTAGTGAAGAAAGAAACACTTCAAAGAATTTTCTTCCTTTAATATCCTTTAACAGGTCACTGATGGTTGCCACCATGATTCTTCACTGTTTGTGGTCACTTACAGAGCTGCAGGTGCAAAACAGACCTTTTAATCTACAACTGACAACATTATAAATTCCCCTAAACTTGGATTTATCTATGACTTATGCACACCTTTGTGATCTTTGGTTTTGGCAATGCATCCTTAGGAATGAAACTGCAGATTCAGGTTGCATTAGGGTTTGGAGTGTAACTCCATGCCATGCTATTGTCCATTGCGAATCTCGAGTGTTCTCAGTCTGGTCACTAGAGAAAAGTCACTTGCTACAGTTATCAAAAGAGATGTAAGCTGAGATTGTCAGTGTAAGAGAGAGGGTTCAGCATCTGAGCTAACCCACCAAAGTCAGCAACACACGTTGTCTGTACACTGTCTTAGGCAACAATTCCTTTTGTTCTAAAAAACTTGTCTCTGAATAGCATTGCTTTGCCTGGTTGGCCTATTTAATTTAATGCTTTCATAACATTTCCAGTCGGTCATAACTTTCCCAAGATGGATATCAGGTTTCATAACCCTTTTCCTCCTAGAAAAAAAAAAGTTAGAGGAAGGTTACTTTTTGTTATTGCTGGCTTTTACAAAAAGCCACACTGAAAGAAAAAGAACTGAAACCAGTTATTTGTGAGATTATAAAATTACTTTTGTTCCACACAGAGTACTTTTTTAGCTGTTTCAACTGCTTGTAAAGCTCAGACACAGTATAAACTGCCTGCAACCACTGTTTAGGGACTTATTGCACTCTAAAATTAGGGTGACAACTAATTAGTGATAACTAATAAAAGAAACACAAAGTTACATGAAAAAAAAAAAAAGACTGACTGGGGGTTTGTGTTCTGGTACTTGTTAAAACAACTGGGTTTCTGCATATGGTAACTAAGCAGGGCTGTCCTACAAAAGTAGGTAAGATCACAGCTCTGTTTATGCAGATCCACATTTGCACCATTTCCTAGCAATGCAGGAAAGGCTGTAGTTCTTGACAGACAATGACAATTCCTTTGCAAAGCCACAAACACAAGCAGAAAACAACTGTTGTGTATGTTCCCTTTCTGGCTCTCTGGGGCTTCCCATGGAGGCTCTGATGACACTTGTCCATGTATCTTATTTCTGCCTTCCCTTTGTGTTGCTCCAGAATTTGCCCAACGTATTCAGCAGTACCTCCCCGGTGCCAGCAGCACAGTAAGCAGCAACTTGGCAGGAAAAATCTCTTTTTACCCCAGACCTACCACTGTGCTTTCCTAGCCTTGTATTTCAGGGCAGAATTTCTTCAGCATCACTGATTCCCTCTCAGAGCAACCCATCCACACTTGATTCCTGGGTTACCGAAATTGATTTTTCTGTTCCCTTTTTTTTTTTTTATTACAACTTTTTTTAACAGTTTTCTCCTAAATATATGACCCCCAAAAAGTGATTGACATGTCCAGGGGGCTCGACACTAGTGCTTTATGTTTCAGATCAATCAGCTCCCCACTCGCTGCAGCCTCCAGCTGCCTTCTGACCCTGCGCACTGTTGGGAAAAAGAAGTAAATTTTGAGAAAAGCGGAAGCCATTTCCTGATAACAACTTTGTGTTAACAAAAGATGTCTCTTGGGAAGGCTGGTATCCGGTCTTCCCTTTCCTGGATCGTCCCACATAGCTCTGTCTCCTTGATCTGCAGGTGTTGAAACAGAACAGTAACGTGACAGGCTCATGCCAGTGTAAGATATAGGAGGTGTTTATATAGTGCTATATTAACACATCTGAATGAGGTGAAGTCGCTGTGTGACTGTGTTAGAAGACCCTTAGGCCTGTCTCTAGGATCCAGCTGGTCTCAGGCGTTACAAGCACCAGCCTTAGGCATAACCAGCACAGATCCCGCCAAAGTTCCGTCGGGTTCTGTCAGCCTGTGGCCAGGGCAGGAAGCCTGGGATGGATGCAGCCCCACCTCGCTTTTCCCTTGGCTTCGCGCTAGCGAGGATGTAGGGGCAGACAGGTGCCATCAGTTTGGGAAGGGCATAGAGGTGCTGGAACAGGTCCAGAGCAGGCAATGGAGCGGGTGAAGAGTCTGGAGCATGGGTCCGATGAGGAGCTGCTGAGGGAGCTGGGGGTGTTCAGCCTGGAGCAGAGGAGGCTCAGGAGGACCTTATCACTTCCTACAACTACCTGAAAGGAGGTTGTAGTTAGGTGGGGGTCGGCCTCTTCTCCCAAGTAATAAGTGGCAGGTTGAGAGGAAATGGCTTCAAGGTGTGTCGGGGGAGGTTTAGATCGGGTATTAGGAGGAACTTCTCCACAGACAGGCTGATTACACATTGGAATGGCGGTGGAGTTACCGCCCCGGCAGGTGTTTAAGGATGTAGCACTTAGTGCCATGATCTAGTTGACGAGGTGGTGCTCGGTCACGGGTCGGACCCGCTGAACCCAGCAGTCTCCTCCACCCTCATCGACCCTGCGATCTCGTGATACGCCCCCCGCTGAGGGGGGGCGCGTGTCACGTGCCCCCCACACCCGCAGCGCCCAATAGGGAGGGCGGACCCGGCCACGTGATGAAGCGCGCGCGAACGGTCAAGAGGGAGGGCGGGGGAGGCCCCCCCCCCCCATCGCTCCCGGCGAGTCACGTGATGCGGGGCCGCCCCTCTGCCCCCCCCCCCCAACCCCCTCCCGCCGTCGTCACGTGTGCGGGCGCCGCCGGCGGCGCGCGCGGCCCCGACGGCCGTGAGGGGCAGGGGCAGCAGCGGCTGCGGCGCCGCCGGGGCCGGGGCGGGACCGCGGGGGCCGCGCTGCGCCGAGGGGCCGGGGGGAGCCCGCCCGGAGCCCGCCGGGACCTGCCGCGGGCACTGGGTGAGAGCAGCGGGCAGCGCGGGCCGAGCGGTCACCGCGGCGAGGGCCCGCGGGGGTGGCGGTGGCGGTGCCCGTGCGGAGCGGGAGGGAGAGAGAGGAGAGGGAGAAGGGTCCTTCTCGCCTCAGCAGCGCTGCGGTGGGCACCCTCATCGCGCTCTGTCGCGCCGCCTGCGAGTTCCCCCCCGTAGCTCCCTGGGAGCCTCTTCCTGTATGTCCTTAAGGCAGTACGTGCTTGATGCGTTGTGTTCTTACAGCCTTCTGGCGGTTTGTTTGTTTATTCGTTTTTATTTTTCTGTTTCGTGATGCCTCGGTTCATCCTTCGCTTTCGTCGCCGGCTTCCTGAAGGCTGAGATATCCGGCTTGTTGGAAAAACAGAAGCGCAGAGGAAAAACTCAGTGCTTTTTTTGTTTCTCCTCACCGGGCTTTATATGAAGTGCTAAAGCGTTTCTTCAGGTTTTTAGCGCGCTTCCTCCAAATTAAAGGAATATTTTTTTTTTAAAGGAGATTGTAGAGTTCTAATTTAGAAAACTCTTCTCCTAAATTAAATATTGAAGGAATAATTTAGAGTTCTAATTTAGAAAGTCCAAATGACCCCTTTCAGAAAGCGAGTTGTCCTCTATCGACGAAAAGTAAAATGGGCTTTAATCGTTCCACCACACTTTGGGATTACTAGGAGAAGGTACTAAACATCATAAATGGAAATGCGTTTGAAGCACAAAGTTTTTTAGGAAAAACTTGGGAAGATGTTTGAAAGATGTATTCGTTCTTTAGAGCCTTAATATGATTGTTTACCTTTGAATGCCTATCTCTGTATGGATCAGATTGAAATACAGGCATTGCTTTAAAAGAGATGTCCTCAGTAAATAGCTTTGATAAGTTAGAGTAACGGCTCAGCATAAAAAAGGAAAAGCATGTTGTGGTTGTAATTACAGTTTTGTTGTGGTGGGTGGATACCTGAAATACTATTAAGGGTTGTTTCCTATGGGCGAAACAGTCACGTTTAATAAGTGTTCACGTGCGTGGTGCTTTTTGCTTGCTTGTATTTCGCTCAGCTGGTTGCTCAAAGGTCTGGTTGTCAGTCACTTTTTTCCTTCCTTGTATTGCTCATAAAAGGCATCCGAAAATAAACTGTGCAGAGGTTCGAACCCGTGGGTTTTGCCAGAGAAATCTTGCTTTATGTAAGGTCTGAGGAAAGTAAGTTAAGGCATGTGATTTCAGGGAGTGCAGTATCTTTTTGTTGGCAGGGGAGAGCCTCAGTAACATCATTTGGTTCACACTTCTGATTAATGTTAATAGTATGTATTGTTTCCATGTTCTTTCTCAGTACTGAAATATGAGATTCAAAACAGCAAACAGACTGGAAAAAAACATGGGGAAGATTAGTGTTTTGTCTAGGATTTAATTCTCCCTCAGTTGAGGTGTACTTCAAATTAAAAAAGGATTAAGTGTGCCAGTCACTTTGTGTTGTTCTAAAGCCAGATATCCAGGCTTTTGTGTTCTCACTGCTGTTCATAATTCCCGTAGACAATTAGGAGAAACGAAGGCCTGAGCCTGCAGTTTCCCTTCGTGCAGGAGTAGGTCTGGCCAGCTGGAATAAACTGCAACACTGGAGCCTGAGGAAAGAGTGAAACAAACAAATGTGCAACTATGTTCAAACAATCAAAAGGGGATAATCTTTGAGGAGTTAACTATTGTTTTTTGTTGCGATGACAATTGGTACTGTGTGCCCGGTAGGATGTTGTGTTAGGCTATTGTTCTCTCCAGCATTGCTTTGTTTAGCTGAACTATAAACTCTGTAGAACTTTATCTAAAATCATTTTAACGGAACATTTTGTAAACACTGCCATTTTGGGGGTCTTTTCAGTCAGGGATCCATGTTTGCCTGCATGCATCACTCAGAGTCCGCTTGCAGGCTTTTTATTTAGAAATCAGATTAGTGAGACGTTAAATGTGTAGGCAGCAGTTGAGCACAGAATTTTCGAGGGGCTTATGTCTCTGAAAGCATGTGACTTGTTTTAATTGTGAGCAAATGTAGATGTCTTTCCCCTAATGCCGGTGACTACTCCGAGGTCAGTTTTTTTATCACAATATGTGGCCAGTTCAGTTTCTCTCTTTATAAGTCATCCTTTCTTGCTTATTTTTAGCCTTGCTGAAGTTCAAGCAGTCCTCTCTGTTTCTGTTCCTGCTTGGATACCGGGGTTGTTGGATCCTTTTAGAGATGTCAGAGCCGTGAGAAGAGGTGCTGTTGATGTAAACTCCCTCTGCTGGTTAGTTCGGCAGCAGAAATGAAGCTTTGTGGTGTGCAATTGTTTACCACTGCATCATGCAGCAGAAATTAACAGTTGAGAAGTGACATACAGTGTTTCTAAAAGCAACTAGAGCACTCAGTTTAAGCTCGGGAGTTTTATGCCTATAAGGCTTTTAATTGCAATCAGCCTGAAAGCTGTGTGTTGATAAGTGACAGATACTCCTTAAGTCCACTGCTGCCTTGTTGCATGCAGAATCTAAGCAATAGCTTGAGACCTAATATACTGAGACAGCTATTAGCATGCAGGTTAAAATCATTACTAGTACATTTGCTACTACACTGCACTTAAAAATTTCTCAGTTAAGGTGCAGTCTTTGCACAGTGTGTGCAGGCCCAGGTGGTTATCAGGAAAAGTAAACAACTGTAGGTCTCTTTGACGCACTGCAGGAAGGGTGAGTGAAGGACGATGGGTGTCTTTATTCTACTGCTTGCAGTGACAGGACTCCTGGATCATCAGCCTTTTGTAGCAAGGATTTGCCCAGAAGGAACTCTGGACATGCCTGTGTCTTGTCTGCCCCCTCTGCTCCCTCCCAGATTCAGGCAAATGTTGAGGATGAAGTTTGGGTGTGATTGGTGTGAGAGATCAATCACAGTATCGGAGAGCGTCTACTATTTTAGAAAGTATGTCTTAGAAGGGTGCTACAATCAATTTGGTTTCAGTTTTGATAACACTGAATTGCTTGCCTGACATCTCTGTTTACAATCCTTTATTTAAAAAATAGATTCCCCAAATACTTTTCTCTCACTGTAGACTTTTTTTCCTCCCTTTCCTGTGTCCCCCAGAACTTTTATTGAAAAATGAGAAATTGGCTAAGGTTGTAGAGGAATGCATCTTTAGGGAGGAAAAGGTGGTGCTTATTCCTTGGTTAGGCAATTACTTTCTGTGGAAAATAAGTAGCTGAATTAACTTTCTACGCACAGTTAAAGTTAAGAAACAGTAGTCCGTGTGTAAGCCCCAGAACTCTCAAGTCTGTGTGTTATTTCACTCGTTTAGACATAAAGCATAAAGAAAAGTAGCTTCATTTGCTACTGTAGAAATGTTGCAACTGGGTGATGACAGGTATACAGCAAATGGCAAAATCTAAGGACAATAGTTAATATCTCAAGAGGAGGGGAAAGGTGTGTGTCTTTGGGGAGAAACAATATGTATTACATTAAAGGTGAGAGAGGTTTTTTTGTTGTTTGGTTGGTTTAAGGATTTTTGTGACTCTTCTTTGGTTGCTAAACCTGGATAGGCTTTAGAATTGAGATTTATTAAAGAAACTAACCTGCCAGTGGCAGATAAGTTATCACTGAAAACCTTTTTGGGGAAATCCTTAAATAACTTTTTAGGATTGTAGGAACAGTTGAAATCGAACAACTGAAGATTACAGCATTGTTTTAGATAAAGCAGTGTTAACACCTGTTAAGTATTGTAAGGTCCTTCATCTGTGGATGGAGTTCATTGCTCGTGTCTTCAACCTGGAAAGGCTTGTGTGCTTGAAAGCTTTTATCTGCCGGTATTAGTTTGTCTGACAAGATATCAGGTTGAGCTTTAGGGTATGGGAAATGCAGGGTAACTTGCTTAGGTTTTGGAAGTGCTTGGAAGGGTTTTGCCAAAGAAGTGGTGAACTGAGTCATGCAGACGGGAAAAGAAGCCAAGTGGATTAAAGACCTCGTGCAAAGATCAGGAAGGGCAGCACATTTTAAACCGGCTCTCTTTAGAGTAGAATACGTTCTCTATCAAAATAACATTTTGTCTTCGTGTCTTAAATTCACGGGGTGTGTTCAAAATAACTTCAGAGAAGAAAATATTTTTCTTAATATTGACTTTGACACTTTTGTGCGTTGTCAGTTGTATTTATATGAGGCAAATTAAATAGGTAAAGTCAGAAGGGACAATTACTTGGTCTGCTCAAAACAACAAGTCATTGCTGTTTCCTTATAGTTGATTGATGGTGTCATATGTTAAAAGATTTGCCAAAGTGAGGTAACAAATCTTAGCAGCTAACTAGCCTGTGTTTGTAACTGGACTAGAAATTAAGAAGGCTTAAAAGCATTCAAATCTGTTTAGCTGTGTAGAATGTGCTGTGGTCTCGGCATCAGGTAGACTTTCAGCAAATAAATTTGCCATCTGGAGGTTTCAGGTGTTTTCAAGACCTGCGTCAAATGTGAAATGTAGAGTGAAGTTGGGCTTTAAGTGAGAGAAGTGTCTGTAGAGCAGTGCTGGGTTTGTTGGATCCAGGCTATGAAATTTGATAAGGAAGCAACCCCGCCTGGGTTTTGTTTGTGTTGGGGTTTTTTTGTGGACATACTTCCACAGTGACTTTAGTGTTTCTCAAACTTTAAAAAAAGTAATAATAATAATAATAATAAAAACAATAAACTCCTTTCTTCCAAAGATGTCCTGTTATTTCAGGAATGACTGCTGGTGTTACATAGTTTTCTGAAGCCAAGTCTTGATTGCCAGCACAGTTTTGAGAACCAAGTATCAGAAGCAAAGAGAAAGAGGCTCTCTTGGTGTTCTCGCTGTTGTCCATTTCTGATACCCAGGCATTATGAAGAAGTAGCCTGAACAGAGCAAAGAATAGAGGGACTGGATTGCACTGGAGCAAACAAACGAAAAGGAGATAATGTTAATGAAAGCATGCCATCTGGATAGAGACTGCATTTCTTACCTGTTGCATGATTCTCTAGCTTTTTGGTTTTTACTGTTTTATTATGTGTCTTGTCACTGGCATTCTGTGGAATTCTCCACCTAGTGCTCTCCTGATTCACAAGACTTGCTGGTACCCCTGAGCGTGGATCATAGGTTGTGTCAGAATCCCTTCAGGGTATGAGCTGAGCCGTGTTACAGTTGTCATGTGCAGGACTGAATGCCTGGGTGAGCTCTCTGTTAGTGCTGACTGTCAGCTTTGCTCTTGAGCTGCTGCAATTGTCCCGAGGAAACTAGGAAGAGGGAGCATTATAGAAGGATGGGTTGTATACATCCGTGTTCATTGGAAAATGATCTCTATACCCAGATCTCTATACCAATGTTTCCAGCTTTTAGTGAGATCCAGCATGTTTCTAAATAAGAGATTATGACAACTTTACCTACTTTTCTCTGTTATGTATCACTGCATAGTTGCACAGACTCATGAGTTTGCCTCATGCTTTCCTGCTCTGACAAATATTTTTTGACCATAATAAGAGCTTTTGATTGTACAAGAGATGGCAGATTTAGGTCATGTGCACAACAACTCCAGCCTCACTTTTATTTGCAGGTTACACATATATGTCAGTTCTTGCTTACATGGCATATATAAGTTGTAGGGATATGAAAAATTTCATAACTGAAAATTTTATAAATTTGAATTCCAACTGAAATCACCTCTGAAAATTCCCTCAGAATTCCACTCGGCCACCAGTGGATATTTGCTGGATAACAAATTTTTAGTAAGTTTGCTTGTAGAACAGCAGATGTTCAGTTAATACTGAATACAGTTTACTTCAATACTCTGCTAAGAAAAGGTCTGTTCTTCCAGTGACCTACTAGTGACTTGCTATTTGTTCACCTGAATACATGGAAATATAATTATGTATTTCATACAGAACAGGGGGTTTACTCTTAGAACCACCTGTCTTTTTTTTCCGTATAAAGGAATTTACCTTTTTGCCTGTTGATAAAAGTGCAAAATATGCTTTTTTTAATGTGCCTTTTTTTTTTTTTTTTTTTTTTGTTACAGCAATGTCATCCTGCTGATAGGACCCTCATGACACACAGCAGCATCATGGTGGATGTAGGCAAGTGGCCAATATTTACCTTGCTGTCACCTCAAGAAATAGCATCCATTCGGAAGGCGTGTGTGTTTGGAACATCGGCCAACGAAGCTATTTACATAACGCACAATGATGAGGTGAGGCTGCAGTCAGGTGGGAAATGTACTCTACAACGACTTGTTTTCAGAGTCCACTGAATATTTGTAAATGAACAGCTTCTCGAAAGCACTGTGTGAAATTTGCGTTTTTCGAAACATGCCGGATGTAATGTTTAATAGTACGGTTCCTGCAAATAAAAAGCCTGACTTCCAGGCCTGCATCAATCTGAATAATTCAGATCCATCAGTTAACTTCCAAAGTGTCCTAATGCTGACTCCTGTAGTTGTTAATTTTCATGTGGGAAGTTTCTGGCCCCTGACGGTCTATGGTAAAACTGTCCCCAGTTTATGAAGACCTGGGTATTACCACATCTGTGCATACCTGAGTGTAAATTGTTAGAAGTGAATATTCCTTTGTTTTTCAGGTATTTGTTTTTGGACTGAATTGCAGTAATTGTTTGGGAACTGGAGATAATCAGAGCACAATAGTACCAAAGAAATTAGAAGCCTTATGTGGAAAGAAGATCTCCAGTCTCAGTTATGGAAGTGGACCCCATGTTGTACTTTGTACTGAAGGTAGAAAATTAACCTTGAGTATAGAAACATAAGTTAATGATTTTAAGTTTCCACTTGCATTTAACAGGAACGGATTAAGGTGTAATTGTATTAACTTGTTAACTGGGTAATGTACACTGAGGGGCTCTGATGAGTCTTAAGTGGATCTAAGTGGATTTTGTAATAGGTTGCACTTGTAGCATTTCACTCTGTCATTTATGATATACTCTGTTTTACATATGCACTTTCATTTCCACAATAAATCTAGAGGTTATACTGTGATATAGGTATAAAAGAAAGTATATAATTTTTTTAGTATACAGATGATTCTTGTAATAGTTTCACTATTTCTTAACATCCATTCACTTTCATCTTGGTGTTTGCTGATATCTTAGAATTTTGTATTAATTTCCTTGGAATTTTTTTGGTGGTTTTCCTCACAAATATTTTTGCAGATGGTGAAGTGTATGCTTGGGGACATAATGGTTACAGCCAGCTTGGAAATGGCACAACCAATCAGGGCATTACTCCTGTTCAAGTTTGCACAAATCTGTTAATAAAGAAAGTGGTGGAAGTAGCTTGTGGCTCTCATCATTCCATGGCGCTGTCATTGGATGGGGACGTAAGTTGAAATCTGTTCAAATCTCTTAATTTCCTTCTTGAAGTGAACAGTGTAGGTGACCTTGCAGTTTGAACTTGTCTGTACAGGGTAGTTACAAACATCACCTTTTCTCCTGCTGCCTCAGACTGGGGTGTCCTGTTCTTCAGAGCAGACTTAAAAAAACCTAAAAAAACCCCCCCAAAAACCCTAAACAAACCCAAAACGAAAAACAAAACAAAAACCCACAAACTACCAAACCCCAACCACAAAAACAAGGGAATTATAGCTTAGTAAACCTTATGTCTTTTGTCTGCTGTATGTCTCACAGGGTGAGACCGGAGAGCTGTGCCACTTAACAGGTCAAAGAATGGTTCGTAAGGTGAAAAATGTAATTTATTTGCTTGCAGTTCTGTTAGTTAAGGGGTAAATTGAGTTTTTTGTGTTTACTGGTTAGCATTTAGTTGATTTCTTGCAGTATTCATGATTTGTAGAGTGGTACTGCAAAAGAATGTTGCTCTCCACACCTCCAAGTACCTTTGTGTGTAGCTAATGGAAGAGCACTTGGTTTATGTCCAAGTCTGCTTTATGCTGTTTGTTTACGTGGCTTAAGGCTATGTGTCATGGGAAACACACTTAGCTTCCAGTAAGTCATATTTGACCAATGTGGGTTGCATGTTACTGCACAGAGGGAAATCTGGTTTCAGCTCTGCATTAAAAAAAGAGGAGTTCTAATTTTAAAGTCTTCTGACAGTGAAAATGGAAACTACAGTTCTTTTCATTATGGTAACCTGAGCGTGTCTGTGTTATGGTTCAGTATGGAATGATAGTGCAACAGTAATACAAGTATTTTAAGGGTAGGAAAGAGAGATTGAGTGAACTTAAGTGGTCTGTGTTTTATCTGAAAGAAGAGCCTAGCTTGGGAAAGATTTTGTGCTGTCATGTTTGACCTGGTCAAACTATAAAATTTGGTGAGTGTGCAGGAAGGGGAGCGTTTTCATGTGTAAGTTATACTAGTGATACCAGCTGCTGTGTGGTAGCTGCCTGTGATGGCCATGCTGTCTCTTTTAATAGATGTAACATGCTGGAAGTCTGTGGAAGTGGGGAAGTTTCTTTGTGTTTACTGTGGAGTTGATATTTGCAGCTTGCTTACTGTAGTGATTAGTTAATGTATTCTAAATCCATCCCTAGCATGCCTTGCAGTAACTTGGTCTGTTTGTGCTCTATTTTGTCTGTACCAGAATTGATTACACTGAAAGCAGCAAAATGTGTTAAGCAGATTTATTTACAGAAAGATTTGACTGCAAAAAACCCTGTGACTTGATATTATGTGAAGCCTCAGAGAGACATTGAAGTTGAAAGTATTTGTGGAAATACTTGACATAATTGGTTAGGACAGTTAGTACCATTTTAATGCAGTGCAAATTTAAAAGAATATTTTAATGATAGAACTAAAGGACTGCAGATTCATGCTTCTCTGAGAGGGGAAACCGATTAGTTCTTTGGCATTTTGATCTACGTTTTGAGATTCTCTACCTCAGTATTTTCTGTTATTTAAATTGATGTCTTTTACAGAGCATCTTCAAATATTCAGTAGGAATCAAAGATCCAGCAATTAGAAGTAACAAAAAGCAAAGGACTAATGCTTTCTTTATGTTACACATGGTAAATGAGTTGGGTTGGTGGGCGGGTTTTTTCTTCTTGCCTTTGGTGGATTGGGGTTTATTTGGTGGCAGTGGAGGTGTTTGTTTTTATTTACTGACTTTTGGGTTGGTAGTAAACAGGTAGCTTCTGGCACTAAGGGATGTGCCAACTTCTCACTGGGGTACCTGCCAGTGTGCTTGTGCTGGCTAGCATGTCTGTGGCTAGATGTTTCCAACAAGGCAGACTTTTGAACTGGGTGAGGCACGAGAGAATGAACTATCAAAAACTGCTTTGTGCCATGCTGTGGGTGTGTATGCATGTAATAAAAACTGAGGGCAGTTTTGTACTGGAAGTATAAAGCTATACTTTTTTTTTATAGCAAACTGCTTTCCTGTATTCTTGACTTGCAGATGAAAGGAAACAGTATTTTTGTTTGTGTTAGTATTAGTTTGCCACTGGAAACTTTAAACTGACAGAGATAGTGCTTTTTTTGTTAATGCCATTGTGTACAAGAATGTAGCTACTGTGAAACATGGGCTGACAAACCCATCTTCTTGCACAGCTCTTGAAAGGTGTAGAAAAGGTATGGTAAATGTCCAGCAGTAACCTGGTTTAGAGTTCTGTGAAGAAAATTAAACTCTAAATTGGGGAGTTCAGCTTGTCTGGGAAACAAATGACATTCCTTTTTCCAGTATCATGAAATTATGAAGACAATCACTGTGTTTTTGTCTCACAGTCTGAGTAATATTTAATATGGAAATATGTTCTGTTTGGTTTTTGTTGTACTCGGATGCTCTGACTGTGTAGTAAGAAGCTGAAAAAAGTGCTATATTCATATTTGGTAGATCAGTTTTATTGCTGTTTGTAATTTTCAGCTGTTGAAAATTAAGCATTTCAACTTATTAAATAGGATAGTTTACCCAGTGTTATGCTGACTCCAGGAAGATTATCATCTATTGCTATCATTAGTATTACTGAGGCTTAAACTGTGTGCTTTTGTTTGGTTGTTTTTTTGGACAGCTGTACGCTTGGGGCTATAACAACTGCGGTCAGGTTGGATCTGGATCTACGGCAAACCAGCCAACTCCTCGCCGCGTTTCAAACTGTTTGCAGGGTAAAATTGTCGTTGGCATTGCTTGTGGTCAGACCTCCTCCATGGCTGTAGTAAACAATGGTGAGGTAAGCACTGCTGCTGTGTTCTCACATTCTCTGTTACCTGAACTTGTCAAGTTAGTGTCTGAATATGGAGGAATGCTGACACTTGAGTGCTCAAATTAGAGTTGTATTGGCAGAGTTAGGCTGATGACTTCTGTGAGACCAGTTTAAGGAAAATGCTGGAATTAACTGGAGATGCTGTCTTTAAACATTACTTCTTATGGCAAAAACTGTATTGGAACACAGTTCTTACGAAGTCTGCAACAGCAAGAATTTGAGCAGTTGCATTAAGCATGTCTGTCTTCATACTTCAAATGATTATTTAACATAAATAACGATAAATTAATTTATGTTAATTTCATTTTTTTTTAAAGCGTGCACAATTAAACAGTTAATTTTTCTGCAACAGTATGCTGACTGATCTTGAGTTTTAAACACATTGCTTAGTTGCCAGCATCAAAACTAGGCTTTTGAACATAGCCCTAGTATTGTGCAACTCTTTCATTTCAAATAAGTTTATGGTGCTGTCTTGCTTCTAGGTATGAACCTCAATTTTACTACATGTCACCAAACTGAGTGTAACATCTCTTGGGGAATGGAAGGACTGTAAAAGTCCCTGAGGTTGAGATGAGTTTTTTTCATTGCACATAATTTGTCATGATTTGTCCACCAAAGGAAAAGTTAAACTGGTGACTTCAGTTTAAACTAATCAGCTGATCAGAATAACTAAATTCACATTCTCTTAAGGAAAAAAAAGTAATAAGGAGAAAGGATGGTGTAAAAGTTATCTAAAGTGCTGATGCTGTGGGAGAGATTTTGAAGTAAGTTTATTCCAAAATTCCTTCTACTTGAAAGGCATGTACTTTAGACAGCTTCTTTAAAAGGTAAATGCAGGGTTGAAAGGTTGAATGCATTCAGTCATTGCAGTATATTTAACATCTTTCAGCCTTCTCTGTATTGCTCTTGAAATAACATATGGTTTTTTTAATAAGAAGTACTTAGCTTGTGCTTGTTACTAAGTCTTAAATGTTCTGTACTCCTGGAGAAGAGTGGCTGAATTTTGTTTTCCTTCTGCCATCAGGTTTATGGCTGGGGTTACAATGGCAATGGCCAGCTGGGGCTGGGAAACAACGGCAATCAACTCACACCCTGCAGAGTGGCAGCGCTGCACAGTGTGTGTGTGCTCCAGGTATGTCTAACACGGACATGAAAATGCATTCCTGCTGCTAGCTTGCGCTGAAGCCATATCTTTGGAATATTGTACCTGCCTCTAGACTTTGCAGTTCAAATAGTGAGGTTTTTTAGCTCTCGGGAATTATATTTTGCTTATAAAAAGTGCAAGTAAGCTGTAAAATCTGCTGTTGTAAATGCTTGGAAAGATTTAAAGTTAGCTAGTGTAACCATGAGTAAATTATTCAAGGGATACAAATTGCATCTTTGTTACAAAGCTGAATGATTCAGCTGGGTAAAGACAAGAAGGGTAACAAAATGTTCAAATTGGGTTCTATGTCAGTATTCTAATTAGTCGTTCAAAAGTGAGGGGAGAAGGAAGGTAAGAGTCATGAGTGTGGGTCTGATTGGTGGTTGGGTTTAGTTTGGTTTGGTTGGATTTCTCGGGTTTTTAGTAAGGTTCTGTGGAGTTGCCTGTGATATTTTGGGTTGAAGGATTGTTGGCTGTTGAACTGCAGCTCTCATAGAGTATTCATACTGTACAATATTCAAAATATATAACACTGAAAGTATTTCAGAGTATTGAAAGATGTGCTGAAGTTCTGTTCCTTGTATGAGGAGTCAGCAACTGAAGGTAACTAGCGGCTAAGAAGACTTTACCAGAGTACAGTAAATTATTTGGCGTTAATCAGTTAAATAAATGAAGTTGGGACTTTTCCAGTGCCTACAGCTAACATACTTGGTGTTAGCTTTAAGTACTGAGAAGTAACACTGTGTAGCACTGAGTGAAGAGTGCCTGAGATACTTTTAACGTGGCCTGAAGTAATGGGGGCGATAATTTTGTTTCTCATCTGTTTTGTTTAGTAGTAACGCTTCTACATTTACTTACAGATTGCCTGTGGCTATGCGCACACACTAGCACTAACAGATGAGGGTTTGCTCTATGCCTGGGGAGCTAACACTTACGGGCAGCTGGGAACTGGCAATAAAAGTAACCAGCTAAGCCCGGTGCAGATCATGATGGAAAAAGAAAGGTAATCTTGCTGAAGCTGTTTCTGGATTGATAAATCTGAGCATGTTATGCGGTCTCTAGTACTGGAAGCACGCACGTGAAGGACTTGGTAGATTGTTTTTCTATTGTTAATGTTAAAAGCATAGGAAAGGACAATAACTTAATGTTTCCAATAGACTGAGTGCTTTTTTCTGTCTCTAATGATCACTGAACGTAAGCATACTTTGTATCTTGATACTGAAAGATAATGAATGACTGTTAGGCTGTTCTGTATATAGATAATTTGGTTAAAAATCTGGAGCTATGAACTCAGTAAGCCAAGATGTTAACTTGTATTGAGGCTTACGTTAAAAAAAAAAAATGAATAGGGGGGAAGGAAGCAGCACCTTTGTAAGAAATGACATGTGAGGAAAAACAATTTTTGAAAGGCTGGCAGTAGCCACCCATGCAAACACAACTCAGTTTGCAAGGTTACTTGAGCTAAGGACAGTTAATACTACTTTTGATCAGTGGTACCAGTTAGTAGTTTGTAGTTTTTTAGTGTCCTAGATTCATAAAAGAATGAGACTAACCCTTGTCAACCCTCTTGCAACACTCTTATTATGCTCATGATTGGGATAACTCTTTTGCTGTTCACCTGCAAACGTGGACCTCAGTCCCCTTCTCTTGAGTCCTTGTGTATACCTATAGATTAATGTACCTTGGCTTGCAAACATATCTAGTCTCTAAATCTTTTGACTTGTAATCTCGAAACAATTCTGATTGGTTTTTCTCCTCCGTTTCTGAACTGTCTTTCTGGGAATTCATTCCTGTTTTGTGTTGTTTCTCCCACTTAACGTAAAGTTAAAAGGTGCGCAGTACTGGGAGTGTTTAAGAGCTTAAAAATGGGGTGGGGAAGAAGAAAGGAACCAACACAATAGAAGCCACTATTGTGGTGAGGCTTTTTTTTCTGTGAAAGAACTGACACTAATGAAACAAAATAAAATATTCTTTAAAAAAACAGTGGGAGAGAAATGCATATGTTTGCAGATAGATCAACTTTGTTCTCTTGGGGATTTATTTCATGAGTGAACTAAGGAGAACTGTTGCATTTAGTATTGTATGTGAACTCAAGCATGGGATTACAGTAAAACTGGCATTTGTTCAATGACTGAAGGAGGGAGAAAATACCATAGAACTTCTGCTTGGAATCTGAGGGAGAGAGAAATCGCTTGAACTTACTCATCCTGCTTGACTTGGCTCCCTCGGAAGCAGTGCTATAAGTGGATGAGCTGTCATTTCCCATGAAGCGTGTTGCTGCTGCTTCTCCTAATCTTTTTGTTTATGTAACTCTTTTGTCTCTCATACTGAATGTTGGTGACAGTTCCTCAGTAAGTGGCATTTGGTGCTGTCCTGAAGAATATTGCACACACAGCTTGTAAGGAACTTTTAGACTTCATTTTTTGTTTGCTTGGAAGGAACAGCTGTGAAGGTCAGCTTCCTGAATTTTGATGTTAAGTGTACGCTTAACGTGTTACCCTGTACATGTGCTGTAACTAAACTGTATGTGTACCATAAATGTGTTATAATAGTACATGTTCTGCTGTACTTCTAAAGTGTAGTGCAGTTACTCTAAAAAGAAGAATCTGTTCTGCTAAGGAAGGAAAGTTTGGGGAAGGAAGTAGTTTAGGTAGGTAGCTATGATGGAAAATTAATTATCATTAAAATAAGTACTCTGTGATGTCTCTTACAGAGATGCTGAAAGGTCTTAATGTTGCATAGAGGTTAAGTTGATAATAGTGTAAAACAACTGATTAGTCTTCTGTCTCTGGCAGAAATTGATACATATACTGAAAGTGATATAGATTCTTTCTGTGTTTTGTCTTGAAATAATTTTTGCACTTAAAATGTGGACTTTGTGCTAAAGTTTTTTGCCTAAAAATATAACTTCATGGATATTATTCTGTAAAGGAGCAAATATTTCAATATGTATATTCTTAGGCTGCTTGGAAAGCCTTTTATTTGTCCAGGTTGATCAGTTTTCTGGCACAAAAGCATGAAATTCTCTGAATTTTTACTTTGGAGAAAAAACAGGAAAGCATAGCTTTTGTTTTGAACTAACACTGGAACCTCCCAGTGTTTTGCTTATCATGTGAACAGAAACACTGACATTGTCCTTAGGCTATTTTAGTTGGAGTTGTTTCTTCTCAGTTCTTGTGGTGTTTCAGATAGCAAGACAGGGATTGCTTGAGCAACAGGAGAACAGAATAGATAAATGAGTGTCAGCACCCCTAATATTCGAAGGGGCTCTGTGAGGTAGGTGAAAAGACTAATAGACTTTATTTTAAAAAGAACCATGGCTCTTCAAGGATGTGGAGTTAGGTGTGTGTATTCACTCCTCCTCAAAGGAAGCACTGCCTGTGTTCATGCTGAATTTCAGTGCTGAGGAAGGGGAACTTAACTGCAAAATAAGAAGTTAGAAATACAGGCAGTGGGTGAGATCTCTGCCTATCTACAGAAATCAAATTAAAAGGGGAGTAGAAAGTATTTATTGGAAAATACATCAGAACTAATCTCAAAATGAGGGAGTTTTTACTGTGTCTGTTTGAAAGAAGTTCTGAAAAGTGCTCAGTGATGATCTAAGTAGTATAACTTTCCTGATATTCTTTCCTAACTGGAAGTTTCATAAAGTCCATAAGCATTTTTCTTGAGAATGTGTCTGATATGCGTTGGTTTTAAGGGGGAAAAACAAAACTCATTTTTCTTCATCCCTTTTTCCCATGGTCATGAAAGAATGGGAGTAAGTCAGCTGATGAGAATGACATAATTAAAGCAATATCTGATTACAATAACATCTACAAGCAATCTGAAAATATCATTGTGTGTTTTTAATATGTGTTCAAACAGTACGACATTGCTGCAGGACAGAAAAACAAGTATTATAGATGTGTAGTTTGATTGGCTGTTATTTTGGTGAGGTATTTGGAAAGTCACTTGATTCTGTACCTGTAAGTGTCTTACCAGGTTTCTTCTGTTTACAGGGTTGTGGAGATTGCAGCCTGCCACTCTGCTCACACGTCAGCTGCCAAGACCCAGAGTGGCCAGGTGTACATGTGGGGCCAGTGCCGAGGGCAGTCCGTGACCTTCCCCCACCTCACTCACTTTGCCTGCACTGATGATGTGTTTGCTTGCTTTGCTACCCCTGCCGTTATGTGGCGTCTGCTGTCAGTAGGTGAGCTCCAGCTCCCACATGGCAGCCAGTGCTGTGTCCATTTTAGTGGTTAGTACAGGATCTCTCTTCTGTGGCAGGTTGCTGTTTCAAGGAGGACTGGCAGCTAGTTGTTTTTTTTTCTTCTAAAGGAAACAGTCTATTTTGGTAGCTAATGATCCAGAGTAGGGCTAACAAGACTGTTTGCCAGTATACATCAAGAGTGAACCCTGTTTTTTCCTTGCACCTTGAATGTTGTGTATTCCCTACATTTGAGCTGTTTGACCTTCAACTCAGGACTGGGAAGGAATCCTGGATCATTAAACATGCTGCTAATTCTTACTTGACCCCAAATATGCTATAAATCTCTTAGCTTGGATTTCCTGGAAAACATGAGGGTGTTTTTGTGTTCAAAACATAAAGATGTTTCATCTTAGATCAGCCACTTCAGTTCATAAGATCATTTAGGAGATCTAATCTGTTTTCATGTTGACAACAGATCCTAATTTTGTTAGTCCTTGTACAAAATTGTTTTTGTGGAGGGATGGATCACAGCCTAAGTAACTTTTCTCCATACTCAGACTTTATCATTGTGTGTAGCTTTTCCTAACCCAGCTTCTGTCTTAATTTCTCATTTAGCATGTTTATCATGTTTGTAGAAGTCCAGGTAACAGCATCCCATCTGTGGAGGAAAATGCAATAGTTTTACTAAAGAGAGAGAAGATTTGCTTGGAGCAGTCTGCTCCTGAGTAAATCTAAGTCTTGTTTTATCCCATTTCTCACTTTCTCCATTCTCTAATCCTTTGCAATATGTGTTAGTCTTGCTCTCTGCAGAGGTCTGAGCGTTGTTCGGTCTATTGCCTTTTGCTAATAGTGAGGGCTGCTTAAATGACATCTCCCCAGTTTCAGTACCTTTCAAGTTCTTGGTTTTTATGAATTACTCCCAGACTGAGTATAACCAGCAGTTTGAGTTCTGTTACCTGCATTTTGACACCTCTTGCCCTTTGGGGATTCTTCCCTCTTTACTTTGATAATCTTACTTATTGGATATTTAAATCAAAGGCATTAATTATGGGGGCATTTTTAATCTCCGTTTTCCATGTGCTTGTTTTCCTTCCTCAGCTTTTTAGTACTAGAGATTGAAAAACTCCTTTTTTCTCTTGGTTTTTTTTTTTTTTTTATGGTGTTTTGTTTTCTTAACAAGAGCTAACTCTGTCTAAAGGTTATTGTTTTACTTCCAGTTATGGTAGCTCTGCCAAAAAAATTAGTCAGTCAGGATTGTCTGTGGTGAAGTACAAATCTGCAGCCTTTTTTCAGGACTGAACTTAAGGTATTTGGAGTGAAAGTTGATCTGCATAGCTTAAGCTAAGCTGATGACCTAGAAAAAAAAGATCACATGAGCAAATGGAGAGGGATTGGAGCATGGTTTAGTTAGCCCAGATGAGATGCAGCTTCTGTGGATGATTCAGGTAAATCAGAGGAGTGTATGGTCTTTTGTGGCACAGATGTAACTTGTCAGTTCTGAGGAGTTTGTTACAGCAGTATTTCTTTTTTTAAATACTATTTAGCTAATGGTGAAGAGTGATTTGTGGATTTTATATGGATGAACAGTGTGCAGTGCTGTGGGACACATGAGACACAGACCACATCCCAGGATAGTGGAAATCCATTTGCTTTTCTTTTCCATCCTGCACTTCTTAGAAGCCGTGTGTCTTGAAACACATTTTTAAGATGCATCAGCAAAAGCTTCGAATAATGGGTTAAATTCGGTTTTCTAAAACTTCAGAGTTCTTGATTTATCAGAAGCCTTAGGCAACTTGTGCTGCAGCTCTTGTATGATTTCTAGAGACAGAGTGGGGCCTCTGTTGGACCGGTGCCATAGGCCTTAATAGAGAGAACCGTGATATCTCAGCTTTAATCCCTTTAATTCCACTTCCAAAATTGCTGAGGTCCTGTGTCCTCGGTTGTACCAAGAACACAGTGTCTACTATCTCTTCAACAGCACTGCTGTTGTATTTTGTGTTTTCATAGCTGAATAATAAACTGAGTAAATGGTGTCAGTGGTAGTTCATGTTAACGAGCCCTGGCAAGCCCCTTACCAACCTGCAGGCTGTATGCAGTCTGCCAGCACAAGGAAGTGACCAAGTGGTGACATGTTTTCTTACTTCTTAGGCTCAGCTCGCACCGTGTCAGTGCAGCAGGAGTGCTGTACCCCATGTCCCAAGTGAGTTCAGGTGATATTGCAGACTCCCACAAGCAGCAGTGTGAAGATTAAGTCACAGAGCTGAGTTTGCAGGTAGCAGCGCTAGCACGGAGCTGCCCAGAGGCTGGAAATTTCACGGCTGGTGCCCATGTGGAGAACAAGTTCTCCGGGTGCTTTCCTTGGTGCTGCGCTACATCTGTGCAATGGGATGGAATGAGAACTGCTGCCTGTAGCTGTCGTGGAGCAGCCCTTCCCAACAGGGAATGCTGTTGGATTAATTCATTCTTCCCATTTTGTCACTTGAGCCAGTGGAGCCCTGACACTGACCTGTTTTCCTTCATGTGCTCTTAGAGTAGTTGCTAGCTTTAGTTAGTGATGTGCGTGTTCCATTTAGGATGCTTAATATGTTGGTTTGTTTTTTAAATTGTTTCTGTAGAACATGAAGACTTTTTAACAGTAGCAGAGTCTCTGAAGAAAGAGTTTGACAGCCCGGAAACCTCAGATCTGAAGTTCCGTGTGGATGGAAAGTACATCTATGTACACAAAGCTGTTCTGAAAATCAGGTAGTGGTCATGTTTTGCAGCTCTTATTTGTACAGAATAACCTCTTATATCACATCTTAGGGGGAGAAAAAAAAGTAAGGGGTAGGGTGGGACCCCTTAACCTGTAACGTGTAGCATCTGTGTATCCATAATCACTTTAAATGAAGTGACTATAAAAGGAGTGGTCCACATTCACTTTTCACTGACCCTGTTTGTTTTTCCCAGGATAATAAATTCTGTTAAGTTGGTCTGATTGCAAATGTATACGTGGATGTTTCTGTAGCATAGACAAAATAAAAGTTTCATCTTAATGCATAACAAAGTCCATAGTTTTAGGAATGAAAATGTGGACTTTCTGTGATGGGGTATGGTAAAAATCTGTGAATATGACAGTGCCCCAAATACGTATTTTAGGGGGGCTGTAATGTAACATTCATGTGTTTGTATAACAGTGTTCCAGATGATGTCTCTGTCTCCTAGGTGTGAACACTTCAGAACAATGTTCCAGTCATACTGGAATGAGGATATGAAGGAAGTGATAGAAATAGACCAGTTTTCTTATCCTGTGTATCGTGCCTTTCTTGAGTACTTGTATACAGACAGTGTTGACCTTCCACCTGAAGATGCAATAGGTATTGCTTACAGTCCAATTATATTAGAAAGCAGCATCCAGAAAAACTGAGACAGGGGATGCAGAATAAGTGTATAAACATAGGCTTCTAGTCTAGCCTATAATGCATTTTACTGGTGATTAATTAAGCTGTCTTTAAAAGATTCTTGTAGCAAACTTAATACAGCAAAAGTGGTGCACATTTAGAAATAAACTATGAGCAACTCTTTCAAGTTTGGCAGAGAAACTATTTCTCTGGGTTAAAATACTTACATATTTAAATTGAGTCAATTATTGTTTGACATAATTATCAAATAATTTCAATAAATCTAATGGGAAAACTTGTACAGCAGAGCAATTACAGCAAGATGTAATTCAAGCCCGTATTTTGATATTAGTAGTGTTTTATTCATGTTTTGGTGCCTGTTTTGTGACACTGTTGCAAGCATTAGGTATGCAGATCAGAGGAACAGCTCTCATGCTTACAGAGATTAACGGGATTGCAGTGTGAGGTTATAAAAGGCCTTTCTTTGTGTGTAGTGTACATTTTCTGGGTAGTGACCTGCTTGCGAAAATCACATTATAGAGATTCAGAGCTTTGCACGCGGAATACAAATGCAGTCTGTACCCTGGGAGCATAAATTGTTGCTGAAAGAGCAGAGATCATTACATCTAACTAATACAGTGGTGTTTTAATTGCAGGGCTTTTGGATTTGGCTACGTCGTACTGTGAAAACAGACTGAAAAAACTGTGTCAGCACATCATCAAGAGAGGAATTACTGTGGAAAATGCATTTTCATTGCTCTCTGCTGCTGTGAGATATGATGCAGAGGTAAACTTCTAAAGTTCAATCTCTTAAATAGGTGGCTGGTTTCTGACTTAAACTATGGATAAAGGCAGCCAGTTACATTTTCATATAAGCTCCCTCACTCACTGTCAGATAATGCTATTTGCCACTTTCAGAATTTGAGAATGTTGGACTTCTGAAAACTGTGTTTGCCATGAGAGGTGTATCTTAAGTTTTCCCCGTAAACCAGTTCTGAGAAGATGAGCTAGTACACAGATATTTCTGAGGATAAAAACACTAACTCTGAAACAAGGGAAGGGTTTAAATACAAAGGAAAACACTATGAAAAGCAGACTTGTAAGCCTTCAAGTTACTTATTTGTAAGGCTGTGTGTTGTGTGTGATGACATATGATTGTAGGTTGGGGATTGGGTGCATTTGGCTTTTTTTTTTTTTTTTGGTTGGTGGGATGTTTTTTTGTTGGCTTTTTTTGTTTTGTTTAGCTACAGCCAAATACAGTTCCAGTTTTCTCTGTCTGCTAATGACGTGTCAAACTAAGAACTGCTTCGTGGGCCTTACAAATGCTGAAGAGGGAGGAACAGTGTGTGGAAAGGGGGGGAAGGGCTGGTGGAACTTCCCTGCTGCACGATGTCTGACTTCACTACTAGACCACTAACATGCAGCTTTGAAAACTAATGGGGAAGTATGCCAGGGCTTGCTTTGGCTATTTGTGTTCAGTGTAGTATCTGTGCATTGTGTTGGCAACTTTGCGATTGGTTGGTTTTTAACTTGCTACGTATGCTTATAAAGCAGTTTTTTTGGTACTCAGTAAATCAACTCATTGCTTTTTCTTGTATTCAATATCAAGCAAATGGCATGCAGGTTGCCCTAACTTATTTCAGAGTCTTGCAGTGTGTTGCTTGTTTGATATATCTTACCCAAAGGGCTGTGTCAGTGTCTGTTGTGCCTTAAGCTCTGCTGTGAATAATGATGTCTTTGTTTGGGAGTTCATCAAAAGTAGAAGATTGGCATACTTTAGCCTCAAGATTGTTTGCAGGACAGATCTTCAGTTTGTGATTGATTCTGCTTGTAAAGGATATAAGAAATCCAGTTACTATGCTTTGTCTGTACCTCACTAGCTAAATGAAATTAAAAATCAAGTGAAAAGTATAGACCTAAATACTGCTTCCAGGAGAGAATGGGTGACCCTGAGGGGTTGGGCTTTTATAAAAAAGCTGGTTTTACATGCTGTAATGTTAGCTGGGGACTTGAAATTGCTTGAGTGATGTAGTTCATTCAAGGGAGTGTGGGCCTGGAAGACAACAGTTAAAAGAAGCTGCTTCACTGATTTTTAAAATACCTCCATGACGTGAAACTCTCCTACACTTTCTTTTGGTGACTGACTGAAGTGACTATCATTAGGTCAGGGCTACCTTTTAAAATAATCCTTAGCTGTGCCTTTATTCACCTAAGTCTATATATTAAGTACAGTTTGCTGGGAGTGCATTCATCTGCAAATGAATTTCAGCCTTTTTTTTAATACAGAACTTTAAATTTTCCAGAGTTACTTACTAATACTACAATAATTCTGTTTATTGTATGCTTCTGTTGCATTGACTTGGAATATGAATTTTTTTTAATAAAGCAGTGCAAAATATTCTAATGTGTATGATGTAATTTTCTTTAAAATGCTAGTTAATTCTGTTATTAAAAAAAAAATACAAAACATCAGTGTTCAGTTCTAATAAGCTTGTCTTTTTTTGTTGCACAGATGCCACACAAGTCAAGATCTGCAGCTTCAGAATGCCTGGTTTTAGGCCAGGATATATTTTTATATTATTGTTGTGTCAAGAACTCCCACTAGCACACACAGTTGCTGTAGCTTTCAGTATTGACCTTAAGTGAAAACATGATTAGTCTTTCATACCTCATGTGGCTTAAAGAGCTCTGCAAATTTGTTATGTTATGCCTTCCTGCAGTGCCCAGTCTACTGAGCAGCTGAGGAAGGATGTGTTCTCACATACAGGGTACTGGTCCTACAAATGTTTAATAAAGAAATGTGAACAGTGTGAGCAGTTGCCCTTTTGTAAGGGCTGCAGTGTCCTCCTTATAACAGCTTAGATCTGCATCACAGAGTAGATTCCTTCTCAAAAGAGGACTTGGAAATATTCAGTCTGAGTGGGAAGTGTCCTGTGGTCAACCTTATATTGACAGTGACTTGTGTTAAGACATCCTTTTGGTCTGACATCATGTGGGTGCACTTATGGTTGTGAGGCTTTTTGCCATGTAACTTCAAGGCTCTGGTTAAGCCCTTAGCTAAGCGGGAGGTCAAGCAACCCTACAGAAACATTTGAGTTTATATTATGGAATTAAATAGTTGAATTTTTTCTTCATCCACAGTCTTCATTATATATCATTACCCTGAGATGTTCTATTTGTATTGGAGTTTAATAGCTGTTACTGAATGCAGATGAAAATTTACAAGTGGGAGAACTTAAAATATATATTGCTCAAAACAGCTGATTTTTTTGACTGCACTATATAGTAAGAACCAGATTTTGGTTACTTCCCCTTCTAACTGCATTTACGTAGTGACATGGATGGGTAGAATTATTACTTTCTGTTGCATTTATGTAGTGACTGTTTGGGGAGCAAACCATTGAGAGCTACTGGGTTAATGCTTGTCCAGTTCTCTGCAAAAATAAAGCATATATGGGCACTTGTGACTGAGTGAAATTTTCTGTGATGAAAACAAAGAGAATAACACATTTGTTTGTTTTTTTTTTCCCTGTTTAGGACCTAGAGGAATTCTGCTTTAAGTTTTGTGTCAATCATTTGACAGAAGTGACACAAACTACAGCATTTTGGCAAATGGATGGTCCACTGCTAAAGGAATTCATTGCTAAAGCCAGTAAATGTGGAGCCTTTAAGAACTGACATGAGGCTGTAAGTTACGGTGCTGGTAGGGAGGTTTTTTGCAGTTCCAGCAGGATGCCATAAGTGCACGGGTACAGCAAGCATTACGTGGTCTCTCGCACCAGAAGACGTGAAAGGCCACAGTGAAAACAAATGTTTTCAGTGCTCCAGAGTGAACTGATGTAAAAATGTCAAGCAAAATATTCACCTTCATTTAACCAAGTTGGATGGTGGAACCAGCTCAAGATTTGAGACAGGAAATGCTGCAGTATGCAAAGGGTACTGGCCGGTGTTACGGACTTACCTTTCTAGCCTAGGAAATCTCAGTTCTGGCACTGCCTGCTCCTGTGTTCAGTTTACGTTTTGGGGTCGGAGCCACTGAATGATGTCACTTAAATCATTAACTCCCTGGGATTATAGAGAAGCAAATGGCATGGTTATTTCTTACTGCATTTGCATGATATTGAATGAGTTGACCATTTGCTGTGTGTAATTAACCAAGTGTATCCAGTGCTTAAAGTGTGCAAAAATAATGTATCCTCAAAGCCTAGGCAAGTGACTTTGAGGAAAGGAGTTACTAGCAAAACTAATTGGGAGTAAATCTCTATATTTGGGTATATTTTAATATAAGTTGTAATATGTACTTTGTGTAATCTGTTCAAGCAATATTTATAATACTTAATGGAAATAATTCCCTCTTCAGTGACTTCAAATTACATTGGTTCCCTCAGAGGGGAAGGGATATACTGTACTGAAAGTTGGGTGGGGTTTTGCTTTTAAGTACTGTCTAAACTTAAACTATATGTAATAAAATTTAATTTTTTTTGTACCTGTTCACTAGCAAACTAATTTAGACTTTGAAGAATGTTGCAAGCTTTTTGTGTCACATACTGTATAAATTGCTTTGTTTAAAAAAAAAAAGTAAACTCAACAAAACAACAAAGGAAAACCCCCCAACAAACAAAAACCATAGCCAAACTAACCCTTCATGCTATATTACTGAATCTTGCTGATTTCACTGTACTTGACAATACCTGTGATTTTGATTTCAGAATTGAGCAAATTTGTTTGTAGGCTCTAATTTAGACCTCAGTGATTGCAATCTATGGATCTGATTTTTTTCATTAAGTCATCCATATGTGACTGTAACCCTACAGCAGGTATGTATGGATATACACACCTACTATTCTCATCATGTGTTTTTAATAACAGAGCTCCACGTTAGTGCACTTATGTTTTAGGGGGGCGTTTTTTAGGCAGAATTGCTCTGAGTGGCACTTGAGTCCTGGGCTTGGGCAGTAAGCTGGTGGTGTTTCTAGACCCAGACAGGCAGCAGGCCTGAAGTGTATAAGCAATTAAAATTACTAGTATTTTGTTCTATGGGGCACAGCTAATAGTTCAAGAGCTTGTTTTGAACGTTGTTCTGTGCTTATTGATACCCACTGTCCTACAGAACAAGCTCCCATCAGGAATTCTGAATGGTCAGGGGCAGAGTACAGCTGTTGTAACGGGATGTTACACTTCTCATGAAACCATGAGGGCAGTGGAACACTGGTGCTGCTCTGCTTCCTACTGAGGCATGGGGTGGTTACAGCAGGGCCTGACCCCTCCTTGGTCACACCCTTTGCAGCAGGGGGGGCAGTGAGCACAACTCCACACACAGCTTTTTTAAAAAATGTTTTATTTTGTGAACTTCACCTTTTGTAGCTAAACAATGCTTTTCTGTATTCAAACAACTTTTTAAAGGCAAAACACAGGGAAGTTCCATCCTTTTGTAACGGAGAAAGGAAGACGCAGACCACTGTTTGATCCCTTTGACACTGCACCTATTCTGAGGATAATGCCCAACTGTTTTTGGTCTGCCTGTAAACACTGTATTGCCACTGCCATTACAGCAGAACTAGTTACACATTGACCAGTCAAACAAGAATAACTTGGGGTTTTTAATTCAAGTCCTGTTCAACATTCAAAAGGCTTCCTTAAGTGCAAGTTCTGCTCATTTATCTTCTTTGGAAAGCCAAAGCACCAATATGATCCTGAAAACATCACTGTCTAGACACAGACAGTGAAGCAGCTATGGCACAGCTAGGAGAGGGCTCCACAGTTAAAGTGACTTTAACAAGTGTTCTGTTGCATCTGATGTTCCCTTGTCTTGGAGTAAAAAGTCTTCACTGGAGGGTTTAAAAAAGCTAAATTTAGCGTATAACACTGAAGTACTACACAGTAAGGTTTGAAGACAAAGATTTGAAAATTTTAAGAACTTAAAATTATTGCACCATTGAGGTATAAAAATGAGTATGTGACCCAGTTCTTGTTTATGTCCCTGTCTTGGGAGTGGGAAATTACTTAGACATGAACCAGATGTGCTCTAGGGTTTCTATCATTAGAAAATCCTAAATATTGACACCATTACAGACAGACTTAAATGTTATTCAGACACCATACTAGATGTACTGGCTGTGCTCTCTGGGGTAGGAAGGACTTCTTTTAAGTCCTGCAGTAGCTCTATCTTGTGATCCAGTCTTTTTCTGTTTTCTAGAAGTTCTTGTATTTTTTCTTCTGTTCCTATTACAAAAAAGGAAAGGATAAAAAAGCCTTTATTCATGCATAACTATTTATTTAATTTAAAATACATGTTACATATGCATAAACACTGCAGAGGCTACAAATGCTTAGTTTAAACTACAATCCTCTGCCTTTCTTCAGCAACATGAAAAGATGGACCATGTGTTGGAATAAAGAGCCCAACTGATACATTAAAGAAAGCACAAAGTAGTGTTCCTATACTTTGTCATCCACCTAACAAAATCCATAATGTAGCTGGTTTTGAGATTAAATTTAAACCATCACATCATATGTAAAAAATATTAGTTTATTTACTAACCCAGTGCCAACTGGCATATGAACTTTAACAATTCCCTTTTCAGATTTCATTTCTATGGGAAAAAGATGCATTTTAAATCTTTAAAGATAACATCTCTGAATTACAGTCTTAACATAAATTTACTAGCAGATTTTAGCATACAAGACAATTAAACCTAAAAAGAGATGATTTGGACAACTGCATTCAACGGCTCTATGCTCAAAACTACAACTTGAGCATTTAATTCTGCTTCTGGCAGAATTGTTATTGACAGTACCCTGATGGGATTAACCAAGGTGTTTACCTTATTTGCAAAGCTCTGCCTGACTGCATTTCTGCTTCTCTCTGTTGCTTCCATTTTCCTAATGTTAAAGATTATTGAAGTCAGTGAGATCTTGGTAACAGGCCTTGCCAGTATTCAGCAGCATTACCATAACCTTACAGTGTTAATTGCAAGTTTTAAATGAAGCACATGCTTTGTTCAGTTAACAAGACACACAGAGGTGTTGGTGACCTCTGAGCAGCAAGGCTGGTCTGTGAACAACAAATGAGTTTTTCTCAATATGTGAGAATGTCAGAGTTCACATTCTGGTAAGAAGGAAAAGATGTTTTATACAAACTGAAAATATTTTTTCTCTTCTGGGGGAAAGAGGATGTCTCCAAAGGGGTAGAGTGGGGAAATTATTTCCAGATGTTTATCCCATGACATTTGGAATTACAGAACCTTAACTGATTAAAAAAAAAAAGAAAAAAGCAAAGCACCTTTGGCCTTCCAGCTTCCTGCTGCTTCTTCCTCTGAAGTCAGAAAGCCCATAACTGCTGCTGTCTGTGCATGTACGTGGAAGACTATGTACGTGCACGTTTTTAAGTACATTACCCAGAGCTGGGTGTGGGTGTTGAAAACAGGCTCCAGAATGATGGTGGTGCCTGCTGCCCATAGAAAATTCTGGGTAGCAGATCACTGGTGCCCCACGCTTGCTCTGACTGAAAAGAAGCAGATGGCTCCTTCTCTCTGCAGTCAGGTGACATCAATATTTGACAGCACTTCCCCCTGCTGCCCCCCAAAACCTGTGCCTGCCCCTTCACAGTGTTTAACAGCTCAACAGCAGACAAATCCACAATGGAAACAGTCCCCTTCACTGCAGGAGGGGGGGCAGGTGGCCTTCATGGCACTTCCATGTGGTACCAAGCCCATGCAGTCACAAGAACTAGCAGGCACATACTTGAAGAAAAAGTTGGACATATACAAGTGAAAGCTGGAAAAAAAAAACCCCTCCTAGAGACTACTTGGATATGAATTAAAAAATTACGAGAAGTAAACAAAACAGCTTGGTTAGAGCAAGGTGGTAGTAATGCCAGAGTTGCAGGTTCAATCCCCATAGGGGCTGTTCACTTAAGAGCTGGACTCAGTGATCCTCGTGGGTCTCTTCCAACTAAGAATGTTCTGTGAGGATGTATTCAGCATTCGGGTGATCTACAGATGGAAGACCTACAGCTCAGACATACAGCTCAGTTTCTCTTCTGCCAAAAGGATGTGGCAGAAATAGAAATAGCCCAGAGAAAGATGTCAGGGATGGGAATGACTGGCCTATGGCAGTGCTTCCACAGGGAGGCAGATAAGAGATTAGGAACCTTCTACCTCATAGAGGAAATGACCTGAAGGGAAAGAACATGTATTTCTTTAAAATCAGGAATGGCCTGAGGGACATGGGCCTGGAAGGACCGCCCTTGATCTTCTGTAAGACAAGTGCTGTGGACTCTCAGTGGAGGAACTGCATAACAGTTTTAAAATAAGGGATCATGGCCTTTGTCTGTGCAACTGAATTGCAGAATTTGCTGCTACAAACCCCCTAAAAACAAATGCTACCAAGGAGGTCAAAAGCTACTGGACAGATGGTTGACCAGCAAAGAGGAAATGGAAGCTGATGGAGGTATCTTCCCAAGCAGGATGCACAACAGAACTTAAAGCAAAACTAAAGGAAGTCACTTTTCCTTGGAGAAAAGGACAAAGACCTCCAACCTAGAAATTTGAAACTGCTCCTGAGGTGATAGCACATCCCGTATGGTGAGTTTTACAAGCAGAGAAGTTTGCAGTAAAGCTGCATGCTGCAAGAGAACTGTGTATCCCTGCATATAAAAGGGATTTAAAATAGCAGTATCAACAGTTACAGTTCAGAGTAACCTTGCTGTGCTGACATGTAAGGCTTTAGAACAGGGTTTGCATGATAATGCAACAAATGAAAAAAATAAAATGCAGAAATGGATTGAAGGTAAGGCATGTCAGATGACCCAAAATCATCGGCTCCAGGAAAATATCAAAGAAGACACAGTATTTATACTAGTCTTTCTTTATTTCTTCCTTGACTTAGTACATCACCACAGAGACTCCCTATCTAGAGCTTGTAAGGCAAGTGACAACAACAGAAAACCCAAACCAAACAAAAAAACCCCCTGGTGATATTCTTCCCTCCCTACAGTCTCACTTTCATTCCTTTCTCACTGGTTCATTTTAAGAGCTCCTCTTCAATCAGTTTTAGAACCAGCCTTGATGTGTGTTTTCATTACTGACCTTGAAATTAAAAGGAGGACAGCAGCATCAGAAAAGAAGATTGTGTGGTACAGGAAGAACTGAGCTGCCTGAATCATGGGGAACTGGGAGAGGGGACAACTTGTACCCACAAGAATCACATGATTGTGTGCACGTAGGTGCCAATATCAAGAAATTCTCCTGCAAGCTGAGAAGAAGGTGAAATAATTGATGCAGCTGTGAAAGAAACAAGTATGATCCAAGGTTGTGTCACACGAGGAATTCCGATCCGAGATGTTTTAATGCCCTCAGACGAGGCACTGGCAGAACCTTGTGTCAGATAACTGCAACACCAGACACTCCTACTGCTGAAAAGGGGATTTAAGTGCAAGAACAGAAGACTAAAAGGAAGAGCCTGGTTTTTTCAGTCAAGTGAAGGGAAAACAGCAAACATTGCCTTCACACACTGAACCTCAGTGTGAGCTAATTAAAGCCCCTTTCACTGTAATAAATTAAAGTCAGAACAAGGCTGCTAACTCTTAGAGAGCAAGAGTTAATCCAAGCAAGAGACTCATCTGTCTGAAAAAGTTTTAGCCTTGTTGCTTAAAACAGCTGAGATTGGAGTCCAGGCCCTAGAGTTTCCTTCCACACTGGTCATCCCACGCAACCGCTCCTGCCCTTGTTTCCATTCCACTCTGAGCATTCTCATCTTGTTTTTCAAAGCATGTTAGAATGGCCACCTGGCCCAGGGTAAGTTCTGCTAGTGCTTGGCTGTTGTGTTTCAGTTAAAGGTATTAGTCTGAACACCTGTCAGGCAGCAGCACAGCTATAACACAGGCAAGCTACTGAAGAGAGGCTGCAGAGAAGGAACCAAAATAACCTGCAGGAGAGGGGAGTTCCCCTGGGGCAGAGACCCTTTGGTCTTTTAAAGCTGTGGAACTGTGAGTTGCCTGCCCCCTTCAGCAAAACTGGCATACTGTATTTCTAAAGATTCAGGCAGCAGTGGCTTTTATTCAAGAGTTTACATAATATTGAAAAAAAAAAGTTCCTTGGAATTTTCATTCTAAATTATCATTTTATCAAAATTCTCAGAAGAATAGCTTCAATGCCAAAACCCAGACCAACTGCTACTGTTCTAACAGCTTTTCTGCACGTACCTGAATGAATATTTGTCAGTATATTTTCAAACAGTCCACAGTCAAACAGTGCCATTACTGTCTCTTCATATTCTGGAGAAAGAGATAATTTGATTTAATATTACTGAGTAAAGGTTTACAGAGCCCTACATTAGAAGTAACACAAAACAGTAGTTACTTATTTTCCATCATACTGATTGCTTGAGGTTTTAAGATGTCTTCCTTCTCATACAACCTATATTGAGAAAGAAGGATCAAGTTGTCAATTCTACTTTCTTTTCAGTTCTCTACAGAAAATAATTCCCTTTTTGGGTCTGCACCACATGAACAGTCCATTTAAAAAAGAGCAATATACTTAAGTCATATTCCATTCCACTGTGTCAGGACTGTGTGACGGCAGGGCTGACCGTACCAATTTCCCCTGACTGACCATGTGACGTGTGGGACAAGATATTCCTGTTCAGTGTTAAAAACCATCCAAGAATTATGTGTCTGTTTCATACCTGAAGCTTCTGTTGAAGCAAAATACAAAATGCTCACAGAGTTCAACTGACCATTAAGAGGTTTCCTTCGTGATGCAGACTCTGAATCTCTAATGTGTCCTGGACTTCATGGCCGCTTCCAGCAGCTGCTGTCATGTCACACACAGGCTGCCCATGAAGGAAGACATATCTAGGTGGGAAATTTCACTTTCCATGCATGTGCTTCAGTTACTTTGCATAAAATAGCATTCTTTATGCAAAGGTAATACTCATAACTTTGTAAAACTGAGAGGACAATAGGAGAGGAAGGTTTGAATTTTATTTAATGGTGTTGTGGACAAAGGAACATTAAACTGGAATTCCCCAAGAACAATGTACTTCATAGAAGCTGATAAACTGATGAAAACCCCAGACAGGCACTAAGAGCTGACAGTTTAGTTGTAACAAATCAGTCAAAGACTTAAAATATACATACTAAGAGATTTTTCACTCAGAAGAGAGTGCTGGTATTAACAGACAGCTGGTCCCTCTGTGAAGCTGCAAGAGCAACACAGACTTACGATCCAAATAAAACCTTCCAGTTCTCTTCAGGACCTCTCTCTTTTTCACTGCCTGGGAGAAGAGGCCACTCTGAGCCTTTCTATGTTTATGCCAGTGGGTAAAAGGTGGCTTCAAAAATTCAAGTCAGAAGGTCTCACTAGAGCATGCTGAGTTGGCAGCTCTTATGTAATGTTGAGAAAAGTTCCTTGGAATTTTAATTTTAAACAGTCATTTAAAAGGGAAGGTCATTCTGAACCCACTGCACAGCTGCAGAAATAAGACAAGATTATATTTAGCACTACAGTATCCCCAGGAAGGTGGCCCAGGGCCAAGTACCTGGCATTCAGATCTGCATTTCTGCTTTGAGAGCAGAGTCCCCCATGGGTCTCCATACCTGTTTCTGAAGTGTTGTCATCCATTAGTTTTTCCTGTGCCAGATGAAGTGTGTCCAGCATTTCTTCAAATATGTCATCTAGAAGCCCAGCTTGTTTGCATTTCCTTACAATGTCTATCTGGACTGTTAAAACACAAAGACACACTCATACAAGTGATCTGTAAAGCGGGCTTTACTCCCTGTCTTCAGAAACTAAAACTAAAACTTTTTGGTGAAAATCCTACCTCTGGTAGCAAATATTTTTGCAAATCTCTGGCTCCTCCAGGTACCCATGCAGCCCTTTTCAATGGGAACAAAAAAGCGGTCTGGCAAATGTAAGCGCTATGGTGGGTGTAAAATTCCCTAAGCTCTAGGTTTAGCTTCATTCATCAAAAGCAAATATCTCAATAACCCTAAATGTACCATTCCTAAAGACTCCTGGAACTCTCCAGTACAGGAAAGCAAGTGATTTGTCTTGCTTGTCCTTCTTCCAATCCTTAGGACCACACCAGAAAACAGTGCAAGAAGTGAATGAGTATTGGATTTAGTAATAATTAAGGCTACTTTTACTCCAAACGATCCAGGCATTAATCTTGTTTATTACATCCCATTTTATAGACCTACTTTGTCAGATTTGGACTGCTAGGGAAATAACTGTCTATTTTTAATTCATTTGGGAGCAGCAGGTCAGCAACAACTCTCAGTAATGAGTAAATGGGTTGTTCAAAAGGAAAGAGCTATCGGACAGTTCACAGAAGTCTGCCAGTCTCCATTAAAAACACGGTGTTTTACTGGAGACATTTGTGAGAAAAGAAACGTCATCTCACTTACATGTGATGCCCTACAAGTATTTCAGAATTCTTTATAGATTCCCTGTTCTTTACAGTGGTAGTAGAAATTCAGAAAAAAGCACTAGGCAGCCACCTGAAATACCATGCCCATACACTAAGCATATCCACAGGGAGGTGAATAATCACCACTAGCACCTTCCAAACTTCCAGGTGACAGCAGAATCCCGACAAGCAATTGCAGCAGGAGCTTCAGGGTAACATGAAAAGCGCAGCACTGAAGGATGGGTCCTGTGGTCCATTTCACTGTTGTAATATCCTATTTATGCAGTAAAATGCTATATTGTGTTAAGCACCCTATGTACACCCGGGCTTCAAAAGGTAAGATATGCTGCCCCCACATCTCACAGCACCTCCTCAGCTAACCCTCTCCAGAGCACCACCATGCTGAACTCACCTCTCTCCTTCAGGAGGGGCTCAGGACAAGGAGACCAAAGCGAAGGAGGACAGGTTCCCTTTTAAATTTAGCTGCACTCATAGGGAGGAGGGAGGTCAGGCAGAGGCACCCCCATTTGCAGAAGACACAGAGCTGAAGGCAGCACCCAGAATGGGGGCATTCTCAGGTGAATCACCAGCTCACATCACACAGCAAGTCTCACTCAGCCAACTACAAGACATTTGTTTGCTGCACAGTCATTCTGCAAATCAGACTTCCACTGCCATGCCAGAGCTTGGACAGTCACTCATCTCAGGAGAACAATAAAGGTACATTTGCAGCATCACTGCTACCAGCTACCTCCAAGCTCTGGACTTCAACATAACAGATCATAATATCTCCTAGTTGCTCTATAAAGTCAGTCTCACCTTTATGCCTGTTGTTTTTTCTTTTTAGTGTTTGGAAATGGTTTTCTTCTGCTTTCTCTTCTGTTTTCTGTAAGACAATCAAAACAATATATTTTTACATCATACTAACATTTACTGCTGTTTTCATTATCAGAAAGATAGAAATCAGCCTGCATTTCTGTGAATACAGTCAGCTTTTCTGCACAGCTAGCGATATTCCTCTTCAGACATTCAATTTTTAAAATGGAAGCAAAAAGCAAAAACACTAAGAAAAGCCCAGCACTTGGGACACCACCCCCCTTAATCACTTCATTTGCAAATAGCAGAAAAGTTAACAAATGTCTATTGCTAACTCGCAGGGCAGATGATGTTTAGCTCCCTAAACCTGATGTAATGCTGGGAACGATTTGGAAAAAGGGAATGTTTTCCTTTGGACAGGATGCAGTCATTCTCTCCTGTTTCACGTCATACCACAGGACTATGAACAATTCTTCAGTTCTGTCCCAAAACTCCACCAGTGTAAACGTGCATTGCTTACACAGTGGTAAACAATTTATCCCACGGTGATAAATCCTGGAACCCCTCACCTTTTTATTTGCAGTGTTTGTATTGATTTCCAAGATCACTAGCATGGGAGAAGTCCAGAAACAGACCAATACTGTGGGTAACCGGTCAAACAAATCTCAGTTATAATACCAGCTGAGAAATTCTTGGAGAAAAATAACCAACTCTTCTGACAGTACTACATAAATGCTGCAAAGATCATCCAAATCCCCTCATATGAACTCCCTTTAATCTCAAGACCTGGGAAAGGCAGACTATTTTCCCCAAGGAAAGCTGGACACCAATTCCTCTAGAAAGATAAAATCCCAACCCCTCCAAATGTCAAAGAGAATTCCCACGCACACTTATGTAGAGCCAAGAGAATCACCTCAAAACTTAAAATAAGATCTATTTACAGGTTTTCTAACAACAGCCTGTAAAACAATTCCCCCTGCAACCAGAGGGATGTTTGCTTGATAGCTTCAAACCCTTGGGAAGGCCATCGGCAGAGTCCAGAACTGCCTGATCTGCAATGAAAGTCTGCCAGGCTTACCATGAGCACAGTGTGCTCACACAAACAAGTGCAGGTTTAAAAGACCGACTGACTCATCAAAAGCAGTTTTTTGTGGAAGCCGTGTCAAGCCCTAAGCAAACCTGAGGGGCACTGTACTTCCAAAGAAATGGAGCCCCCAAAGGGAAGCTCTTTCTGCCCATACCAGGATCACAGCCACCAAGTCAGCCTGGTTTGGAGGGTCCTACTGCATTTGTAGTGTAATTGCCACATTACCCGAGGGCAACGCCAGCTCTGCCTGAAGCGGCTTCAAATGCAAACAGTTTTGGTTTGATGGAATGGCAAGATCCAAACAAGGCAGCTGTAAAGGACAAGCAAACTGCTTCTGTGAGGAAGTCTTTCTCTGAACACAGAGTCAAAATACTTCACTAAATAAGTCCTTTGCTGTAGCAGATGTGGGTTCCTGTTTTAGACTGCTGAAATTCAGAATTACCATTTCTTCTGTGATGGCAGGAGATGTCAATGTATATCTTCTCTTCTTATTAGCTGCACCTAGGAATCAATAAACAACAAAGAAACAAATGCAACAACCTCAGACTGATGACTACACATTATTCAAACTCTTTTTATCCCAAAAAGCTACTCAAGTGAGGCACTTTGGGTGGCAAGGCAAGAGTATGTTTCAGCTTCCCCAAATACCTGACATTTCACTGGAATTCACATTATTTCCATCTAAGAAAAATTACAACTCTGAACCATTAGGAAAATGTGCAAATCACTGTAGCAATAGAATATCACTTTACCTTTTAAACTCAGCAGATTTTTGATTGTTGCGGAGTGAACTTATTTTCCCTGGCAGCAGCACTACCTCTAGTGGTAAAAACTTCCAGCAAATTTAAAAAGATGACTTCTTTTTTTTTAAGACAATTCTTGTTTATGTTAATACACCCTCAAAATTAAGACTGCATAAAGAATTATTTTAGGTGTCCCAAAGACACACAAATGGCATTAGGTTTTTCATTGATCTAATGACCATCCTAGAAAACCTCCAGAAGCAGTCTGACTTGTCAGTTGAATCTTATTTATGTTACAAAGTGTTTTTAGTGATGTGGTATGAGATCTCTGCAAAATCATCTGCTTTCACTTTGTCCTTTCCATTAGCATGCACCAGCCTCTTGCCAACAGCCTATCTGGCAGCTTTTGGAAGCAGCTACAGTATCAGAGAAGGATAACTCTGGCAAGGAAGAGATGGTAGGAGCAGAAAAATCCTGAGAACAGTTCAACCACCCAACAAAACCTGAGAGTTTTAAGTGCAGTGGGGTTATATGCTGCCTTCTGTATTCAAGTCCAGAACCTCTGGACAGCACTTTAGTAAGGTCTTTCCTGTTAGAAGTCATCCTGTCAAAAGGAATGAGGAGGCGTTGTATGAGGAGGCTGCTGAAACAAGTTTGGGCTTTGGGTACTGATGCCGTACATTTGCATTTTTCATGGCATGAAAGAAAATCATAGTCTCTGACTTGACCCAAAATAAAGCTGCATGGCCTAATTTGTGTCCAGGAGACATAGGTGTAGATACAAAGTGTTCCTTGCATGACATTTTTGACATGTGATGGGATTTTCTAAACTCTCCCTGATATTTGCCATGAGGACACCTTATATGACAGGAGGAACACAGCCCAAAGAGTAGCCCAACCTCTCCCGCCCTGCACAGCACCTGCTGCACTCTGTCAGCCTTTACTCTGTCCACATCTAACATTTCTAGTTAAACAGACGTTGGAGCCTGTTTCCAAGCCCAAACTGTCCTCCCATGTGGAGCTGCCCTCTCCCTGTGTAGAGCTGCAAGGAGAGTTCTTGGCCCCTAAGGCATCTTACCTGCTTAATTAAACAGCAGAGCCCCAACAATTCAGCACAAGAACATTGTCTCAACAAAGAACAAGGGGATGTTCCTTGACCCTATTTTCTTGAACCTACTGGGGAAAACAGGCCTGGAGAGGCAGCTCGTGCTCCCACACAGCCCAGTGCTGGCTCTGCTTGCCCCAGCTGAGTTACTTCATCCAAGTTGGATCCTGAAAGTCAGAACTACCATGCAGCCAAAGCACTTCCACCCCAGCCTGTCTCCCTCATCACCCTATGCAGACCTGCAAACACCTCAGCACAGGCATCCCCTGGCTGCTCAGATGGCCCAGACAGAGCACCTGCTACTTCAGCTGATTCACCAGCTGATTCCCCCAGCTATTCCGAGTGCCACCTGTGCATCTGAGAGCTGCTTATAAGCAAGAGACCTTTGGCTTGGCGAACAGCTACTCTCTCAGACAGGTAGGAGAAGGTGATTTAGGAGGCAGGGCAGACACTGCCAACAGAATCCATTTAGCCCTCAGAGGGTCTCCAAATTAGGTGCCTCTGGAAGAACTCTAGGAGAAAACTGTTCTCAGGGAATACGTCATACACTGTATGTGCAACATTTGACAACACAAAGACATTAATGATATTAATGGAAGAAGCACCAGGGTGATTAAAAAGGATTTCAAGGCGCTAGGTCGATTAGTTAATGGGACAGGAGCACAGGTGGTGTTTGCCTCAGTTCCTGCAGTAGCAGGGATGAATGAGGAGAGGACTAGGAAGACTCATCAATAGGTGGCTAAAGGATTGGTGCCACCGGCAGAATTTTGGTTTTTTTGACCATGGGGCAAATTCCATGGTACCTAGTCTCCTCAAATCAGATGGGCTTCATCTATCTAGGAAGGGCAAAAGGACTCTAGCCCATAAGTTGGCAGGGCTGATCAGGAGGGCTTTAAACTAGGTTTGAAGGGGGAAGGGATTGAAACCAGGCTCTCCAGAGAGGAGCATAAGGGTGGAAAGCCCGAGTTAAGGGTGAAATCAGCAGCCCAGCTGAAGTGCATGTACACCAATGCACACAGCATGGGTAACAAACAAGAGGAGCTGGAAGCCATCGTGCAGCAGGAAAGCTGTGATGTTGTTGCCATCACGGAAATGTGGTGGGATGACTCGCATGACTGGAGTGCTGCCATGGGTGGCTACAGGTTCTTCAGAAAGGACAGGTAGGGTGGGAGAGGTGGAGGGGTGGCTCTGTATGTTAGAGAGTCTCTTGACTCTGTGGAACTTGAAGTCAGTAACAATAAGGTCGAGTGCCTGTGGATCAAAATCAAGTGGAAGGCCAACAAGGCTGATATCCTGGTGGGAGTCTGTTACAGACCACCCAACCAGGATGAAGAGGGTGATGAATTATTCTGCAAGCAGCTGGTAGATGTATCAAAAATTGCCAGCCCTTGTTCTCATGGGTGACTTCAACCTGCCAGATGTCTGCTGGGAACTCCACACAGCAGAGAAGAGGCAGTCTAGGAGATTCCTAGAGCATAAAGAGGGTAATTTCCTGCTCCAGCTGGTAAATGAGCCTACCAGGGATGGGGCCCTGTTAGATCTTCTGTTCACAGAGAGGGGCTGGTGGGAGATGTGGTGGTTGGAGGCCGTCTGGGGCACAGCGACCACAAAATAATAGAGTTTTCAATGCTCAGGGATGCAAGGAGGGCCATCAATAAAACCTCTACGCTGGACTTCCAGAGGGCAGATTTTGGCCTATTCAGAAGACTAGTTCAGAGTGTACCCTGGGAAACAACCCCTGAAAACAAGGGGGTCCAGGAGGGATGGACATGCTTCAAGAAGGAAGTCTTGAACGCACAGGAGAAGGCTGTCCCAGTGTACCAAAAGGCAAGCTGGGAAGATGACTGGTCTGGCTGAACAGGGAGATTTTGAAGGAAATAGGGGTAAAGAAGAGAGCCTACCAATTAGGAAAAAAGGGCTGGCTACTCAGTAAGAGTTTAGGAATATAGTCAGGTCATGTAGAAAGAAATTTAGAGAGACGAAGGCACAACTTGAACTTAATCTCGCCACTTCTGTGAAGGATAACAAAAAGTCCTTCTACAGATACATCAATAACAAGAAGGGCAAGGAAAACCTCCATTCTTTATTGGACATGGATGGAAACACAGTTATCAAAGATGAGGAAAAGGCTGAGGTATTTAACACCTTCTTTACCTCAGTTTTCAACAGTAAGACAGGTTGTCCTGAGGACAGCTGGCTTCTGGAGCTTGTAGAAAGAGATAAGAATCTGAATAGCCCCCCTGTAATCCAGAAGGAAACAGTTAGCGACCTGCTGAGCCACCTGGATCCTCACAAGTCTATGGGACCAGATGGGATCCACCCAAGGGTGATGAGGGAGCTGGCAGAAGAGCTTGCCAAGCTGCTCTCCATCATCTACCAACAGTCCTGGCTCAGTGGGGAGGTCCCAGATGATTGGAAGTTGGTGAATGTCATGTCAATCCATAAAAAGGGCTGGAAGGAGGACCTGGGAAACTACAGGCCTGTCAGCCTGACCTCAGTGCCTGGCAAGGTTATGGAGCAGATCATCCTAAGTGTAATCACACAGCACCTACAGGATGGACAAGGGATCAGACCCAGCCAGCACAGGTTTAGGAAGGGCAGGTCCCGTCTGACCAACCTGATCTCCTTTTATGATCAGGTGACCCGCCTGGTGGATAAGGGGAAGGCTGTGGATGTGGTCTACGTGGACTTCAGCAAAGCCTTTGACACTGCCTCCCACAGCATACTCCTGAAAAAAGCTGGCATCCCACGGCTTGGACAGGGGCACTCTGTGCTGGGTTAGGAACTGGCTGGAGGGCCGGGCCCAGAGAGTGCTGGTGAATGGGGCTGCATCCAGTTGGCAGCCGGTCACTAGTGGTGTCCCCCAGGGATCAGTGTTGGGCCCAGTTCTGTTTAATATCTTTATTGATGATTTAGATGAGGGGATTGAATCTACCATCAGCAAATTTGCAGATGACACTAAGTTGATCAGCTGGAAGGCAGGAGGGCTCTTCAGAGGGACCTGGACAGGCTGGAGAGTTGGGCTGATTCCAACAGGATGAGGTTCAACAAGGCCAAGTGCAGGGTCCTGCACTTTGGCCACAACAACCCCCTGCAGCACTACAGGCTGGGCACAGAGTGGCTGGAGAGCAGCCAGGCAGAAATGGACCTGGGAGTCTGGATTGACAGGAAGCTGAACAGGAGCCAGCAGTGTGCCCAGGTGGCCAAGAGGGCCAATGGCATCCTGGCCTGTATCAGGAATAGTGTGACCAGTAGGACCAGGGAAGTGATTCTTCCCCTGTACTCAGCACTGGTGAGGCCACACCTGAAGTGCTGTGACCAGTTCTGGACCCCTCAGTTCAGGAAGGACATTGAGGTGCTGGAGCAGGTCCAGAGAAGAGCAATGAGACTGGTGAAGGGACTCAAGCACAAGTCCTATGAGGAGAGGCTGAGGGAGCTGGGGCTGTTCAGCCTGGAGAAGAGGAGGCTCAGGGGAGACCTCATCACTCTCTACAACTCCCTGAAAGGAGGCTGTAGCCAGGTGGGGGTTGGTCTCTTCTCTCAGGCAGCTATCAGTAAGACAAGAGGGCATGGTCTTAAGCTCTGCCAGGGAAGGTTTAGGTTGGATATTTGTTGAAAGAATCTTAGATGATGCAGGACATATACTGCTTCAGGCCTGCTTGCACAATCCGGCCTGCGTGCTGGACGGCAGGGACCCGTGTTCTCCAGCAGTAGATCTGTGTCCTTGAGCAGCAGATATCAGAAAGCTGCATAGAGGAAAACAGGGAAGGAGGTTGTTATCCAGAGTGTGAGAAACCAGAAGATGGGGGGCCTGGAAATGTGCCTTGACTAGTAGAGCCAATAAAGTTATAGATATAGTGTGTGAAAGTGAATGTAACCAATAGAAAGTTAGAATAGAGCGTGTGAACCCTGTAGGACCCTTGATAATGTGTGTATTTTTGGAATAAAGGGAGAACATTGACTGTACCTCGATGAGGATGTGTCTTTGACTCTCGAGCTCATTTTTTTGCATCTTCTCCTTTTAGATATTAGAAAGAAATTCTTTACAGAGAGGGTAATCAGGCATTGGAATAGGCTGCCCAGGGAAATGGTGGATTCTCTGTTCCTGGAGGTTTTTAAGATGAGATTGGATGTGGCACTTAGTGCCATGGTCTAGTAACCACGGTGGTAGTGGATCAAGGGTTGGACTTGATGATCTCAGAAGTCCCTTCCAACCCAGCTGATTCTATGATTCCATGAATGCTCACAGTCCAACTGAGCTTCACTTCAGAGCAAAGGCCAGTCTAGGACCCACTTCACTTTGAGCAGGGTTGCATGCATTAGATTAATAAAGTCCAGCTTTGGCTGGTTAATTCAGTGAGATTTCCAACTACCTCTGAATCAGCAAGGATCAAGACTGCCAAATTAAGTTGCATTTCTGTAGCACGGGAAGCAATCCTTGAACAGGTTGTATAACCCTTTTGTTACACTGAAAAAGTTCTTTGGAATCCTTCAGAATGAAAGGCTCTATTTTAGAAGCTACTGCAGTGAATACAGAAGACGCAAAAGTGAATGTTTGAACATAACTACAGATAAAATCTCAAGGTGACCTCTTCCGTAACAGCCTCTCTTTGCTAATCAGGTGCAAACTTGGGCGTGGCTCTCCTGTCTCATGTGGACTTTACAAGCTGCCTGGGCCTACCTGCTGGAACAGAGTCAGAATAATTCCAAAAAGGATCAGGTCCATGGTGGTTTAAGTCAGTTTTGAGGGAGATTTAAGGAAGATTAAATTTAAACATTCTTCAATTAAATTTAAACATACTTCAAAAGACCTTCTTGATTTTTGTGCATCCATGTGGATCTCAACCAAACCACTCCTGCAAGATTGGAAATCCACCACTCAATATGAAGGTGGAGTAGTATTTATTTTGTTCAAATGAATTACTGACTGTAGGATGCAAACTTTTAGAACAAATGAAATCAATGAAGGTGTTAAAGAAACTCACCATAGTGACTGGTCCTATTGCTTGGGTCATGTTTTGGGCAGAACACTCTAAAATTTAAGTTCAATTTTAAGAAAAAGAGAAAAAGTGTTAATAAATACATAAACAGAGTTATGCTGACTGATTTTAACAGATATTTCCCCCTCTTTTCATTAAACATAAACTGAAAGACACTTAGAAAGAATTATCAGAATTTTTGTTCAGCATTACCCACCTAAGAAGGCACCTGCTATGAAGTCACAGGCCATTCACAAGCTTGTATCTCTACTTTTAGAGCCTCGCTGGACTCTCAACACTGAAGCCTTGAATGACCACTTCCATCAGCCCACTCTGCCTGGACCCGCCCACTGCTCAAATCCCAAGTCAGACACACTTCATCTGGTGTGGTGATCACTGTGTCAGAGGTAACTCTTATTGAAACGAGGTTAATGCTGCCAAGGCGAAATAGCGCAGAACTAACAAGCATTCTGCTCCCTCGCCCTGCACCATCAGGCCAGGAACCTCTCCTGCCACACCTGTTCACCAGCCAGCTTGAATTTACAAGCCCTGCTCCACGTGCCAGCAGAGCTGCACAGCACCACCACACAAAGCACCAGTGACTTGCTTGGAGATCTGTTGGAATGTAAGCTCTTTATGACACAGCAGAGATAAGAAGAGATCTTAGCAAGAAGCCTTGGGATCTAAACAAAAGCAAGATAAGCAAGCACACTTGTAGACTGTGGTAAATCTCTTCGTGACTTTGTTTTGCCCCATCTATCATTGTAAATTGTGATAAAGAAATGCCTGCCTATCTATTTGATGAGAAGCATCTCTGTGTTTCCTGGACCTTTAATCCTGGTTATGAATGGAATGTCTGTCCCTCCTTCCACAAACCCTATACATACTGAAAGTTTTAATTAATAAATGATTCAGTCTTGTACACGCAAACTGTGTCCATGCAATAATTCAACTGTTACAGAGATCTCTGTGCCCCTCCCTTCCCACTGCCTGTGCTGACAAGGTGGTTCCCAAATCCTGAGGAAGTAGGGCACCCTGTTTGAGATCCAGTAGCTTAAAGCTGCTCCATCTATTCCTCAAAGGCTTTAGTAGTATGCAAGATGAGAATATTTTCACTGGTTCTAGGAGAGCAACATGAATTCCTTGGAAGAGGCGAAATGCAACAAATATAACTGGAAATATTCCTTATCTTCTGGTTACAATAATGTGCAGAGAACATGAACCAGCTTTTATAATATGCCTTTCTTACAGAAGGATCCCAATTCACTTTTTAAGCAAAAATGCCTTATAAAGAGCATGATTCAGTTGAACTCTTCCTTACAAATCTATTTGCCAAGCCTACTGCTCAAGTCATTGGAAGCAATTTTTAAAGGGAACTGCATTTACTAGGACATTTTCTAATTACTGTCATTCTTTTATTTTAACAAAAATAGAAGCACTGCCCTTAGAAATGCAGTCCATTTCCTTGATGAGCCAGCTTTTCTGCATGAAATGTATTTTTATGCACAAAAAAAATCAGATTTAGGTATGCCTAACAACTCAATCAGAAAGCTAAGTAATGGGGACACCTTATTTACAGCCTTGAATTTCCAATATTGCCCTCTGAAGATTGCTTTTATTTCTTCCCCTCCCTTCAATTCTAGTCTTTCCCAGTTAGAAACAACCCTCCTAAGCACAAGAATATCTTATAAAGAACAGACAATATATTTTACTACTCAGGCCACACTTTATTTGGAAGCACTTCCCTACTATCATTTTTGCAAGACAACATAACAAATTTACTTATTTCCCCACCTGTACTCTTGCTGGCCACTTCCACAGCACTGTATGCCTTCTCTTTTTGCTGCTGCTCTACTTGTTTTGATATGCTCATCATCACAACAATGGCAACTCAGAATTTAAAAACACCAGCTCCATCTCTCTCAAAGGAATTCTCTCCCTTGATGTGCTTTTTAGTATGTCGTATTTCACTACGAAAAAGTGCAGGGGCTGTCACTCCACATTCACTGTTTTTCAAGTCTACTCTCCAATAATTTCAGGCTAGCTACAATTTTTGCCATTGATACCATGCAAAAAATCTTTAGGTTCAAATCCTTGAAGCCTGCCTCATCATCTTTTTCTAATCCAGTCCTTTCCCATCCCTTCAATACAGGTTGCTATAGTCTAGTTTCCCATATTATATCTATGTAGGACGCACAACTAGTCTCACAGTGACATTTTTAAGGGTCTCTCTTCCAAACCTCCAAGCTCAAACACCCACCACATCAAACTATATATTCAACCACTGCTTTACCAGTTTCTATCTAGACAGTTCCACTTATTTTTCAGCATCTTGAGAAGTTCAGTCTTCTTGAGCCCAAGTTATCCTTTCTAAAGATATATAATGAAAGCCATTTATTCTGTGATCACAGGAAGTTTCCATCTTCCCAGCTATACTCCTTCATGAGCTTGGCAGACTTCCAAAGACTTTACAAGCATAAACTAAACATACCATCTTCCCTATACAGCTGGGCTTACTGCCTTGCATTTTAGACTGACAGCCCTAGTGAAGCAGCCAAGAGTGCAAGTGTTTTGATACAAAAGGATCCATCTTCCACTGCTACTAAGGACTGCAGTAGTCCATCACTTTTTGAAACAAACAGTGATTAGATGACCCTCAGACTAATCTAAGGCTAACCTGGCCTGTGATCTCTCTGGCCTTGCACAGAAACGAACATCAGGGGTTTTATGCACCTTAGACTTTACCACAACTCCAGCATTTCAAAAGGTCCCTGAAGTCCCAATTTCTCAACTTCATGTGCATCCTCCAAACAACTTGTTCCGTTTGGTAACGGCAAAGCAGGCAGCCCAAGGGCAGTGGATATGACAACTAGCATGATCAGGACAGAAACTTTACTTAGAATCCATTTAGTTGTGTTAATGCTAGTAGTGTACTTGAAATACAAGGTCCTTGGTGGGAATCAAAGTTCTCTGCTAGCATAGGGAGGGAAAATTACCAGAATTTGCCTAATGTGAACAGACAGTAGAAGTACTATAGCCTACTCTGTGCTCAGACTGCATTTACTGGAGCTTCTGAAAAAAAAAAAAAATAGAGAATTTCCGTGACATTAATAAAAATCTTGGTCCTTGAAGACTAGCAAGGCAGTCAGTAGGGACTGACTTCCTCAGTTTTGGCCTAGCGAACTTTCAGGTATGTTACAGGCTCAAACACTAAATAGATTCCCTCCCACTGCTGTGAAGTTTTCATGTGAAAGAAAAATGTTTCCCCCAGTGCTTGCAAACGGAGGATCGAGCATCACTTTAAGAGAGAAGAAAACACCTCCTTTTCTAAAAAAAAAAACAACGTTAAAAACCACATGATTTTTAAGCCTCTCTTCCCCAACACCACCATCACCACCATAAAAATGCTGACAGTGCTTAGTCAGAAAACACTTGGGTAAATACCGGTAGACTCCCTTCACTTGGTCGGTTTCTATGGCCGCGTCGTCGCAGAGCGCGCAGTAGTAGTGGTAGCTCCTGCGGCAGGCCCTCTCCTCACAGCCCACAGTGGCTCCCTTCTTGCGGCAGAAGTTGCACACCTAGAACCAGACGGGGTGTAGCACGTAAACGTCACAGGCGGCTACTGAAAATCTTGCCACGTAAGGCAAATACCATCCTCTGCGGGAAAGTCCAATATCTCATTGCAAGTCACCTTTGTGTAATTCATTAGGCAAGCTCACTCCTGCAAACTCCCACCCTGGTCATAATTTCAGCCACCTTTTTGCTACCTTTTCCTCTACTTTATACAGATACATTTGTAAGATGATGCAAACAGCCACGTGAGGGCACTGGGTAACTTCCCCAAATTCCCTCAAGACCAATGGGTATTAGTGTTTGTATTTATGTTTTCTAGGATAACATAATGAAAAGAGTTCCACTCAGGATGTAGGGGAGGAGAGAGCAGCTGAAGACAAAGCCAATTACAAAAAAACCTCTCATATAAATGACCTTCGTTCTGCTAAACACAGAAGGTGCTTCCCTTTACACTTATGGATTGCATGCTTTTGTTTCAGGCACTGGCTTAGTCCTTCACCAAAGTCTTAGGAAACTTTGACTAAGGACTTAGAGGCCAGAAACAAACACCTGCATTTTAATACAGAATGAACTAAATTTCACAGAATATAATGCCAGTGATTCTAACATCAAATCTGTAATTTTCCTAATCTTAGTAGATCAGAAGGACTAGGTATTTTTATGTATTTTTTTTAAAGCACAGAACAGGCCAGATAACCTTCAGTAGTATGAGACTGGACTAACTGCAGATTCAGAAACAAACTCCTTACCAGCCGCTTTCCTCTCCTGAGCTCTTTCAACACTGATGCCACATCAAACCTTATATCCAGATTTTCTGGGTTATACTCTTCAGATTCCACAAATCCTGAGGAAAATAACTAAAGACGAAAGGGACAATATTAAGAAATAAGAGTGACTCAGTCACCAGTGCAGAAAAGAGACAAAGAGCACATCTTTTCTTCTTGCACTTGCCCTACCTAAGGAGGTTAATTTTCCTCTGTGTTTTTAATAGGTTTCACCTATGCTAAATAAGGAGTTGTGCTTAAATATTTTTGCAGTCAAAGGAAGCTCCTCTTCTACACAGCAGATTTCACATGACATGAAAGTGAACTAAGAAAAGATAATGAGGTAAGAAACTTATTACGGAACATGAATGAAAAAAATGTGGAATTCCAGCCTGCCCAGAGTAAGGAGGAAAAGCCAACAGACCTCCACACCTTGAATATCTTGTTATGTGCTCAGTTGTTCAGACTTACAGCTGGATGCAATATTTCTCTCTGATAAGATTTCCATACATCTCAATGCTGACAAGAGTTGACTGCATGCAAAACATAGGAACACTGTACAAAGCCTGGGAGAAATCCACAAAAAATATATACATGTACACTTGGGCCACTTTAATTCCCACAGAACTGCTGAGCCATGACAATAAGTGAGGAATGGGAAGTTCTTGACAGCTATTTCCTAACAACTGTATGTAGCTAATTCCAAACAAAAGCTAGCTACCCTTTCATCAACTGGCAGGCACAGTCTGTCTGCTCAGAAGGTGATAGCTAACTGCAAAAAACTCAAACAGCACAGATAAGTCTAAGGCAAAGAAATGAGTAGAGTTGCTGGCAAGAGAGAAAGAAGAAGGGAGAGAGAAAAGCGAGGAAGAAGTTTCAACACTGGAGCAACATTAAAGCCCTAATAAAACCTGTTTCAAACAAAACATCCAAGTAACACTGTAAAAGAGGTATCAAATGTTTCTGAAATATTCTGTGACAAAAAGAACTAACCAACCAAAAAAGGTAGCTGAAAAATAAAGATGTACACATAAAAACTGTGAGAATAAGAAGGCTGGAACAGCAAAAGCCAGAAAAGTGTTCTAACAGCAGACATTTCCTGCACTAAATGACCCTCAGCTATATTCTCCCTCTCCTGAAGGGAGAATAGAGCATCTGTACTTGATTCTGCACACCAAGAACCAGTTCCATCAAGATTCCAGAATAAAGGGGAGGCATTCTGACAGCAAGAAAAGTAAATGCATTCTAGGATCACAGCACACTTCAAGCTTCACAGATATTTTTATATAATAAATTTCTGATATTTTTACTTCTTACTTTAAATAAAGCACAGACTGGGAAGTGTTTTTACCTTCATGTATCAAGTGAATACTTTCCTGTAAAGGTTTCAGTGAGTACACAACTTCCTACGTGTAGATAAGAACTTCCTTCTTATCCAACTTAGTGTCTCGAGAAGACCTATTACTACTAGTAGACTGTATGTGTGCCTAGAATCACTGATCAGCTACAGACACACATGAAAACACCAAAAATCAACATGTCCAGCTCTGCAGCCATGGCCTCTCCCAATCCAAAATCCTGACCAAGCCCTGCTGCTTTTCATAGCTTTTCAATCTAATATAAACTTGCTGGTTTGAGTAACCAGCCTTTCAAATCAGATACCACTGTAAAGTCAAGAACAAAAAAGCAGTGGAAATTTCCCCCTTATCCCTTCTTCTCCACTGGTCTTAGGTACCGACTGACTAAAAGCCACTCACCAGACAATCCTGATGAGCTGCAACATCGCTCTCTTTGGCAACATACATTACAGAACCAGCCGCCCCTTCTGAACAAAATGCACATGTTCTTCTCACCATCTTCGCCATTATCCAGAAAGCACCTAGAGCAGGAAAAAACTGGGACAAAACACAAAGCAGTTGATGTAACTACCATATGCCAAGCAGGACACAGAAAAGCAGAGTTTGCTAGCACTTGTCCTCTAACTTCTCCTTCTCTTACATCTCCTGAACCTTGGTGCTTTGCTCCTCCAGCAACAACTACCAGTAGAATAGGCAAAGCCCACTCTTGGAACAGCAGTGGGATGGAAACCAGCTCGCAGGAGCTCCAACTGTTAGAGCAGGAGGAAAAGTGGTTTCTCTCTTCTTGGAAAGTCACTGACAAGTCATAAGGGACAACACAAGTTTTCAAGCTTGCTTGGCAATACCTGTTCCAATAACAGGACCCAAGAGCAGCCCAGCAAGTCACGCCCTAAGGAGTGAAACTCCTTCTACTTGGAGGATGTCAATCACTCATAGCAGTGCTTTTCTTAAGGTACTTCTGCCACATGTGGGTCTGCAAGTCAACAGAGGAGAGAAAATCACCTGTCCCCAAACATCTACAGTGCCTTCCAGGAGTTCACAGAAAACAAGGAAGAAACACTAATTCCTTACTGTAAGAAAGATGTAGCAAAGAAGCATGGAAGGGCCTGTAAGTAAAAGGGGGCAGAAGACAGAATCAGAAACAAGAGATTCGAACATTCTCTCTCAAAGAGGTGAAGCGCTAACAGGAGTTACAGAATTTTCTCTATGCCCTGGGATTTGCTCCAGGGACACCTGTTCTCTTTTCCTGGCCATATCCACTCTAGTCTTAATTGTTGTTCTTCACACAGTCTCTCTTTTCCTCCAGCAGCTGCAAAACTTTGAGGCCATCTACTTATTTCACAAAAACAGTCTACATGCATCTGGATGAGCCTTCACACATATCCCCCATCAGTAGTTTAGAGCACCACACCACAACATCAGTAGCAGAAGTTTTACTTTGTGTTTTTTTTGTGCAAGTCCACCGCAGAAATCTTCAACAACTTCCCACTCCTACTAAGTGTGATACTCCACTGTCCTTTGCTGGAGACACCACCTCTGACAGCACAAACTCCTGTATGACAAGGGGAAGAAAAGTCTGCATTTACTTTCAAGAAATAAGAAGATCTGAAGTTAAATTATTCTAGTAAGGGAAAGGTAGTAAGGTCCAAGTACAAAATCTCACAGTCCACCAAATCTTGCAACCTTTATCTGGCTTTCAACAAACTGTTTCCATTAGTTCCCATCTCCCTTACATAAAACAGACTGGGTAGTCCCAAGTGAGAATTGCACCAGAGCAGAAGATTTTTTATATGTTTTCTCCCCTCTGGCTCATGCTACTGAGAATTTACTTCATCACAACAAGCCACTTTACCTTCACAGATATCTAGGGGAGATTTCCCCTCCATCCTTCTACCTCTTGTAAGCAAGGCAAGATAGGGACTGATTTCCAATATCCATCTATACAGCGACCATCACAACAGTCTCAGAACTTCAGCATTAAATAAATATGATAGAAACAAACAGAAATATATAGAAATATTAGAAACAGAATAGAAAACAGACAGAAAGAAATTTAAAAGGAGAATGGAGTTTGAATGGTCTAGAATGTAAGAAAAGTTCCCTGCAGCAAGCTAATACCTGGAATTGATGCAGATACATAGGCCCTGCTCAGGCCCAGTCAGAGGATCCAGCTCTAGGAACTTAGTGAAGAAGAGGCTAAAGATGGAGTCTACAGACCCTGGTGTTCTTATAGACTCAGGAGAGATCACTCACCAAATAATATCACAGGCAAAACAGAATCAACTTGGGGATATTAACTGAATTTATTACCAATAAAATCAGAGCAGAATAATGAGAAATAAAATCTTAAAAACATCTTCCCCCCTCCCCTCCCTCCTTCCCAAGCTCTACCTCCTCCCCCAGTGGAACAGGGAGATGGGGAATTGGGGTTACAGTCAGTTCATCACATGTTTCTGCTACTGTTAAGGGAGACAAGTCTTTCTCCTGCTCCAACATGGGATCCTTCCACAGGAGACAGTCCTCCATAAACTTCTCCAGCGTGAATCCATTCCACAGGCAACAGTTCGCCACAAACAGCTGCAATGTGGGTCACTCTTCCTTTGGGCACAGTCTGCTCCAGTATGGCTCTCCCCCAGGATCACAAGTCCTACACCAGGAAACTTGCTCCAGTGTGGGCTCCTCTCTCCATGGGTGTGCAGGTCCCTGCCAGGGGCCTGCTTCAGCATGGGTTTCCCACAGGTTCACAGCCTTCTTTTCAGGTATCCACCTGCTCCAGTGTGGGTCTCCTCCAGGGACTGCAGGTGATTCTCTGCATCCCCGTGGTCCTCCATGGGCTGCAGGGACACAGCTGCTTCACCATGTTCTGCACCAGGGGCTGCAGGGGAATCTCTGCTCTGGTGTCTGGAGCACCTCCCCCTCCTTCTCCACTGAGCTTGGTGTCTGTAGAGTTTTCTGCTATCCTCTCATACATATACACACACACACACACACACACACACACACAGTTTTTTACTATATCCTCTTAAATATTCTTACTCCACTCTTCTCTGACCACAATTACATCTGCCCAATAATTTTTTTCCCTTCTTAAATATGTTATCACAGAGGCATCACTATTACTCCTGATTGCCTCAGCCTTGGCCAGTGGCAGGTCCATCCTGGAGTTGTTTGGCATTGTCTCTGTCTGATATGGGGGAAGCTTCTGGCAGCTTCTCACAGAAGCCACACCTGAAACCGCCCCCCACTACCAAAACCTGGCCACGCAAACCCATGACACCCCCACAGGAGCCTTGCTTCAGTTCCTTCCTCTTCCCTAGCTTTCTGCTATGGAGTACTGCCCAGAACAGGACATGGGGCTAAACAGGACAATGGATCTGGCTAGATGCTCCCATGCAAGAAGGGGGAGGCTAAAGGCAGGGTTCCAGTTTCACAATTTAATTACATTTCACCTAAACAATGTCTTGCTTTTGCAGGGCTTAAGTTAGCTGCTCGCAGATTCCAGTGGAACCCCAAGATCTGTCCAAAAAGGCAGGAAATCCTTGTTCCTTAGTCCGCTCTTCCACTCGCACTCATGACAGCAAAATTCTTATTTCTCCTACTGTGTCTTGTTCAAGCTGAGGAATCTGTTCCTTGTACAGAAGCTGGTCTGCATCTTTGATCAGCTCTGTCACTTCTCAACCCCTTCTCTACTCTTGCTATGCTCCAAGAGGAGCAAGCCATCTTCAAAAGGGTGGGCTACCATTTACAGTACAAAGTCACAAAGTCACTCTGTACCCTTTTCTTAACAATTGTTAATATTCCAATCACATTTTAGACTGCTTCTGAGCAAAGAGCTGGCACTTTCATAAAACTATTGTTGGAGGCACAAAGCAGTGAAGCAAATGCAAAGCTCAACACGTGATGAGGTCCACAGTGACGAGAGCAGACATGGAAACCAGACGGAGGGCTGGTAGTTTGTGCTGCCACAGCATCAGGGACGAATGTGAGCAGGGGTGGGAGCCACGTGGTCTCGTTCTTCCACTTGCTTAACCAAGACTGCTACCAACTACGCCTCCTAAGTACTCCATGCAATGCGACCACAAAGAATGGAACACTGGACGACAGTCCCAGCCACAGCACGTTGTACAGTAATGGTAAATAAGGTATAAAAGTACCCCAATTCATACCAAACTGGGAACATGAGAATTTGACATGGAAATTGTAGGGACAGATCGAAAGGTTTGTCCTCCTCACCCTCCCCAGAAGGGATACCTTTCAGTGAGACTTGTCTACTTGGCTACATGAAGTCACAGAATCAGACGATAAATTAGGTTGGAAAAGACCTCTGAGATCACTGAGTCCAACCTATGACCAAGCACCACCTTGTCAACTAGACCATGGCACTGAGTGCTATGTCCAGTCTTTTCTTAAACACCTCCAAGAATGATGACTCCACCACCTCCCTGGGCAGCACATTCTAATATCTAATCACTCCTTCTGTGAAGAAATTCTTCCTGATGTCCAACCTAAATCTCCTTATGTTTTCACCCAGGACATTAAGTTGTGATTGCAATTGTGTTGTTAGTGTTTTATAGAGCTATTCTTCAATAACACACATATATCTCGGACAATTCAAAAGAACCTCATATATTACAGTTAATAAGCCACATTCTTCGTGAACCTGACTGGCTCCTTTGAATGTGACCAGACCTACAGTTAATTGACTATTCCTGCACCCAATATCAGGCCTAGAATTGTGGTTTTGCAACAACTACGTACTACAGTTCCCCAGATCTCTTCCTGAAGCGGCATCAGATAGTGTAGAGGACATCAGCATTACAGTTACTACTCTGACACATCATATCCCACTTATCAATGTTGGATTTTCATCTCCTGTTTTATAGTCAATCCCTTGCTGTCACAAAGTCCTTCTGCAACCCTCTGTTTCCACTTCCATTGTCACAGGAGCAGGCTGTGGGAACACAAGGGGACCAATTCACCTATATGAGTTTTGGAGGCCCTTCCACTGCCCTCCAGTCAGAAGACAGAGATGCAGCTGAGAGAAAGGAACAGTCACACCTGGCTGCTTCCTCTGTACCTGTGCCATTTCCTTGAAGTAAGGCTGTTGGGGTTGGTTTTGCTTTTGCAATTGTGACAAAAGGTAAGACACTGGGAAAGGAAACAGAAAGTAAAAAAGGACAAGGACATTGTTGGCAAGAGCACACTTGTGCCACTTCCAAATACATCCCGCTGAAACATCACCAGTTTGTCTAAGTATTTCCTCTCCAGACCCAATTCTGAAAGCATCCTTGCACGTAAATACACATATTTTACATGGGAGAAAACTAAGGCACAGATTGTCACGTGGCATATCCATAGAGGGGAAAGGAAAAGAACCCAAGTGTCCTGACTTCCAGCACGCCAAAGAAACCCACCGCCCCAGCTCCAGCTCCGCTCTCCTCTTCCCCGCAGCGCAGCGAAGGGCTGGATCTACGGAAGTAGGAAGACAGAAGGAAATGACATATCAGCTCCCCCACACTCACCGTGCCCCCCGTTTC